AAACTCAGCTTGAAAAACAAAGACATTCTGAACTGGACTACTTAGTCCATGGAAATGAATCTGCCACTAGATTATTACAAAAATGCATGGAATCTTTACTCTAACCATTCAAATAATATTACATTGTATCTGTGAAATAGCTATATTACAACTAAAGCACATGGAAATTGGGAGATTCAGATTGAAGAGAAAAAAAATCAGGACTTACAAAACATATGCAAAACTATGAGTACACAGAGCAAATAATTGAAGTAGTAACGATTTCAAAGCCTGTAGTGAATACATCAGCATTTATAGAAGTATGTACACACATTCGCTCATTTACAGAAAGAGCAGTACTGTAATGCTTCAGTTTCCAGATGTTCACAATCAGCTTCCCATTCCTTTGCTTGGAAACAACTAAGTTTTCTGCTTATGGGAACCCAGTGCTTAAAGTCAAAGCTCCTTTAAGTCAGGATCACAGGCAATGACAAGTTCATGTCATTCTTGAAAACAGTCCACAATGCTGTATTTTCCGAGTGGCAATATGGAAATGGCTCATCATTCCTTTTTCAATGTTCCAATCTATACTGCCAACCAAATTAAATCCTGATAGTTTATCTAAATACCAATCTGATTTTAATCTTGTTTAATTGTTGGAATTAATCAATATTTGCTGGACACTGCCACTTGTAGACACTTCAACCGTATTAGCTTATAACCCAAAATCCATTCAACAAATCACAGTAACAAATGATCTATCACAGAGGTCCCCAACCTTTTGGATTTGGCAGCCCGGAAATGGAGGCAGGCACTGTTTTGCACAAATGGGAGGGGACACTTGGGGTGGGGCGGCGCTAGTGCTGGCAAGACACTCAGGGTGGCACTAATGCCAGTGGGATGCTCGAGGCGGTGCTAGTGCCAGTGGGACACTCAGGGCTGGGCAGTGCTAGCCCCGAGGGACGCTCACAGAGGCACTAGCGTGAGTGTGGAGGGTGAGTGCATGCATAAACACACACATACTGGCCTCCCTTCTTGTGGCCCAGTGGCCAAAAGGCCAAGGCCCAATAGTGGCCCACGGATGGGGACCCTAATCTATCAAAAAGCAATCAAAACCCTTTAAGAATTTCTGTATACCTGTTTATGTACACAAATACAAACATACAAGTTCCTATGATGTGTATGTCAAGAAATGCAAATTATAGACAAATGCAAATTCATATATCCACTACTTTTTAAATCAATTCTCTTAAAAGGACAGGCAACAATTCAAATGGGAGCTATAGAGGAACTCAAAGCAAGATGAACCTATGGAAATATATACTGTATGTAGCTTCAAAATGCTACCTCTCTCCCTCAATAAAACTGAACTAGGACAAATACTGTACATAATTACTCTTTAGTAATGAAATGGATGAATGTATAATAAGTAAAAAACAGTCTTGATATGTATAATGCAGAACTCCAAAATCACAGAACACTTTTGAAGTAATACTTATTTCCTTTGTTTTTCTCTCCACCTTCTACCAGGATTTACAGAAAGAAGCATAAAAATAATTCTGTATGAGAGAATAAATTTAATTAAAACCTGCCCAGAACAGAAGACTTAGATAAATTGATTGTAAAGAACCAATAATTGTAAAATCAGAACATTGTTCTAATATGAAAGACGTAATGGACAACCATTAGTCAATCATGTAATCCTCTCAGACATCTATTTTACTTAATAAAGACGTAAAAGAATGAAGAATTAACATATGCATAGGCCAAAGAATAACATACATTGTTTCCTGACTTTTGTAATCCAACTTTAAAAACAAACACAAGAAACAAGCATCTATGCCATTCTCTTATTGTGTCTTAATATCACTTCTTGGATCTCTGGAACACGAAATAATAATTAGCACAGCAGACGTTGTAGCATGCCATGAACACTTGTTATATTACAAATTGCCCAGCATGCTGGAAAAATTACCAAAGTATCCTTCTTTGTCCTAGCTGCAAATACGAGATGACTAAAAATATTGCCAGAATGAAAGCATAACAATGCTAACTTGAGACTACAACATGGACATACTATTAGGCACTTTTGTGACCCCAGAAAGGAAGCTTCAAACTGATATCCAGATAGCGAATTTTAATCATTCGAAAAGGAGCTGACTGTATCTCAGATACAGCTACCCAGAAAATATCCATCAGGATTCCTTGTGGGCTGCTGCTGCTAAGTAAAGGGCAAGACTACCATGAAGATATAAAAGTTGCTTTGCCCCAAGATACAATACCAAGCAAACATCTCTGAATCCTGTTATAAGAAGCTATTTGGTAAGAAAAAAATGTGAGTACGAACCCAGAAGCTTACACAATTTTTTAACATTTCTAAGAACTCTGCTTACATTATTAACCTATTCCTTCTAACACTATCTACAGTAACAGAATTTTAGACGTAAGTCCGTAAAAGAATTTTAGACATAAGTCTAAGTAATTCTACGAGGAGATATAAGCAAAAGAACCCGCATCTTCCGCTGTTATATCACGAAACACATCAACGATCTCAAGTGCTTCCAAAGTTTTATTTAAAATAATGTATAACTATGTTTGCAACATGCTTGGAGACAGATTCAAACTAAACAGGGAGTGACAAAAACAGTAACTTCCCTTTTCCAAAGTTTAAAGCAACATACTTTTCTCAAATCTAGTAACTCAGATTATAAAGTGTCTCCTGCCTTTTAATTTATTCTTCCTTTATATGTCGTACAAATTATCTAATATCGCAGCTTGGAAAAGTATCAAGAGTTAACTATACTCATTGTGCCAAAGTATAAGAATGGAATCCAGAGTTGCTCATCCTATCCCTAAAAATCTTAATCTAATAAATGGTAATTAATATTTGTAAGAACCATGTTATAGCATATTAACTGTGCTTTCCTTCTGCTGGTGATAAGAGGAGTCTGGATTTAATTGCATGACTGATGGTTTGTCAGTATTTTATTCAGCTTTATTTTGTTGCTATATCAGTATGGCATCAGTAGTGAGATAAGAATACAGTCCTCAAATTACAACCATTCATTTAGCAACTGCTCAAAGTTACAACAGCACTGAAAAAAGTGATCGTGACTTTTGACATTGCATTATATGATCAAAATTCAGGTGTTGGTAACAGGAACATATTTATGTTGGTTGAAGCATCCTGGGATCATGTGACTGCTATTTACAACCTTCCCAATTGGCTTCCAATAAGCAAAGTCAATTAGGAAACCTAGATTCGCTTAAGAATTGCATGATTCACTTAGCTGCATTGATTTGTTTAACCATGGCAAAACAGGTCATAAAATCAGACATGACTCACTTAGCAACCATCTTGCTTAGCAACAGAAATTCTGGTCTCAATTGTAGTCATAGGTTGAGGACTGCCTATACTGCTTAACTAATATTGACAAACTGGTGTAACTGCAACAGAATAACAGAGTTGGATGGGACCTTGGAGGTCTTCTAGTCCAACCTCCTCTGCTCAAACAGGAGACCCTATATGATTTCAAACAAGTGTTTGTCTAGTCTCTTCTGAAAAACCTCCAATGATGGAGCACCCACAACTTCTGAAGGCAAGACAGTTAATTGTTCTAACTGTCAGGAAATTTCCCCTTATTTCTAGTTGGTTCTCTCCTGGATTAGTTTCAACCCTTTGCTTCTTGTTCTGCCATCAGGTGCTTTGGAGAATAGGTTGACCTCTTCTTCTTTGTGGCAATCCCTGAGATATTGGAACATTGCTATCATGGCACTCTTAATTCTCTTCATTAAACTAGATATACCCAATTCCTGCACCCCTTCTTCATATGCAACATCCAAGTCTAAAACAAAACAAAGATCCAACTCCATTGAATAGATGCAATTCCATAAAAAAGGAAATGCACACTCAAATACAAACTAATTTCAATATTTTTGTGTGTAAATGTGACACTACAGATAACATAGTTTTGTTTTTGGCTCCCATTAAAAAGAAAAGTTCAATATGCACAAATTGGCCTTTCCCAAGAAAAAAGGATAGGGTTTCTTCCAAACTGCACTTTTAATAAAGGAATATTTCTTCTTCCTTGCAGATAAAACATTTTTGAAACCAACTGGCAAATACTGCATGAAAAGTTTATTCCAACTGGAATTGCAAATGAAATTTAACAACAATTACCTGGTATGCAATCCTCTTCAGAGTTAAAATCTCTTTAAAAAAAAAACACCAACCAGTTCAGTTAAATCAGCACGCTGTTGCCCCCAAATAGGTAACAAGGTGAAGCTTCAATAAGATCTGACGCTTTTTGTGCCCTTTTGCCCTCTTTTCCTTTCTCTCCCAATGAAGCCGCATCGACACTTACTTGGTTAAACTCCTCGTCGGCGTAGATATCAATGAGGTCTACTCCTTCCGACATAGTTTCAGGAGCGCCACGGAGAGAATCGGGGAGAAAGAGCGGCAACTGCAGGTCAAAGTAAAGAACCGGGTTAACGCGGACCCCCGGGTAACCTTTCTGACGCGGCTACGAACCGGGCCCGGCCCTCCTCTGTTGCCGCCAGCAGCAAGGCGGGCCTAGGACCGCAAAGCAACCCCGCCCCCCTTTGCTCCGCGCGCATCTGAGGACTGAACTACACCAGCCCCGCAAGAGGAGCGGTCGAGGAGCAAGGTGGGAAACGGAGAATTCCTCCCCCCCCCCACGTCGGCGCCATAACTGCGCCCGCTCGCTCGCGGCAGCCATCGCCTCCCGCTTTCCCGCGCTGGAAAGGGAACCCGCCATTCCCCCCCTCCCCCGAAGGGCCGCCACCAGACAGCCGGTCAAAAATCTCATCTCTCCCCAGTGTTAGGCGGCCCCGTTATACCGCGTAAAGGCCCACAATCCCAAGCAGGCCCAAAACGCGCGCGAACCTCTCTCTCTCTCTCTCTCTCTCCCACAGTAAGGGCCTCCTCCGCTCCGCCCCTTCCGGCTTGTCGAATCCCGCCTGTTCCGGTTTCTAATGCTTTTCCGTGCAAGAAAGTACGAATACCAAAACTTACTATTTGGCTCCCTTTCCGGCGGCGTTCGACAAGTTGCCGTTCGAACGCTATCGAATTAAGACGCATGCGCGACCAGCTCTATGGCTAGCTGGAGAAAGCAAACGCATCCTGGTTCGCGTTACCTGTATGTCTATGGTCGAGAGCGAATGATAGAGTAGCTCGGGGAGAAAGCAGGATGGCAGCTCTAATGGTTCGGGTGAGTGTGGGAGGCGGAACGGGAGGACCGGGGAAGGTCGTTACTCTGAATGACGGTCACTCGTATCTCCCTTTCCTCGCAGCGTGTCTTGCTGCTGCCCGGCTGTCTCTTCCGCTTGCCCAAGTGTGGGTACCGCGGGGATTCTCCGCCTGACTCTGGGAAGGACCTGCTGGAGATCCCGCTCCCACCCTGGCAGGCTCGGCCGCACGAGCCCCTGGCGAACAAGCGCGCGAGGCTCTTATACGAGAGCCGCAAGAGAGGCATGTTGGAGAACTGCCTGCTGCTCAGGTGGGCGGTTTTTCTTCTCTCTTTCGCAGCCAGCCTACAGAGAGTCCGCGACTTACAACAATTCATTTAGTGACCGTTCAAAGTTACAACAGCAGTGAAAAAAGTGACATGACCATTTTTCCCCACACTTACAACCATTGCAGCGTTCCCCGTGGTCACGTGACCAAAATTCGGATGCTTGGCAACTGACTTGTGACTGTTGCTGTATCCCAAGGTCATGTGATCACGTTTTGCAACCTTTTGACAATAAAAATCAATGGGGAAGCCAAATTCACTTAGCAACCGTGTAACTAACTTAACTGCAGTGATTCATTTAGCTGTGGCTAGATGAAGAAAGGTTGTAAAATGGGGCAAAACTCACTTAACAAATGTCTCACTTAACAACAAAAATTATGGGCTCAATTATGGTCGTAAGTCAAGGACCACCTATACTTAGAACTGCTAGTCCAGAGTCCTGCAATTGTAATTTTTACTACTGTATTATTTACCTGAGACCCTTTTGGGACAAGCTGAATGCTAATAATACAGTAACTGTGTTTGAATATTGTGCTAATAACCGCTCCTCATAACTTTCACTGGGACTCCTGCCCTGAGATGTTCAGCAGAGCATGGATCAGCACTTAACAAATCTTGAAAAGTGATGGGGGGGTCAGATGTGGTTAATATTTGGATGGTAAACCACCAGGAAATCTTAGAACTGTAAACCAGAACAGGAATAATCCTGCAATGCCACAATGGCATATACATATTGCTTCTATATGGACATAGGCTAGCAATCAAGTTCAACTTGAGAGGATTTTCCTTATTTTATTACCTGTTGACCAACTAAAGTTTTTCTTACCAAGTTTTTATTCATCAAGTTTACTGTGTGAACTCTCTAAGTCCTATCCATAGAGGACTAATTTGTAAAACAGTCTAAAATAGTAGCAATTACCATATCTTTTCCCTGTAAGATCTTGATATTAAATATGTGCTATATGACATAATATGTTCTTTTGTCTCCTCAAAGTCAACACAGAAGCATGCATCGTGCACAAAGACTTACTTAGTGCAGATGTTTTGTTGTGAGTATAGATATATCTGAAAATTAAATGTTACTTGGCCATCTTCAGATGAGGTAGAGTTGGTGCCTACCTCTTTGAATGATAATGGGCAAACAATTAATTGGAATCTACTAAGAGAGATAAGTTAGGATTATCTATTCCATTAGTCCCCAACTTTTGCGATGTGGGGGGAAGAGGGGAATTGAGTCGTGTGAGCTGCAGGCTGGCACACACACAAATACACACATGCAGCTCTTGCATGTGGTGGGTCAGCGTGCATGGGTACAGCTCAGCTTGCACAAGTGGCCAGCCGGTGCGCAAATGCCTGCTGGCCTGCCGCTCACACAAGTTTAGCTGTGCATGTGCACGCACGCACATGCTCCAGCCAACCAATTCCAAATAACTCACAGCCCGGTAGTGGGCAGCGGCTCAGGGTTGAGGACCCCTGATCTATAAAGATAGATCAGGTTGTTCTCCTGTTGATGTGTCTGACATGTGTTTTTGATTCTTTTTTTCATTTTGTGTGTACTGGGTTTGTATGAGCTTAGCAGCTTTAACTGTTTTGGCATTTTACTCTTAATTGTTTTTAATAGTCTATTTGCCAAAGAGAATCTGAATCAAATGAATGAACAACAACTGGACCTTTATGACCGACTCATAAATGAGCCTAGCAATGATTGGGACATATATTCCTGGGCAACAGGTAATGTAGAACTGTGTGTTTTGGAGCCAGCAGACTATATGTAGCTCTCAGCATATTTCTAATCTCATAATATTGAGTGAAGCAATAAAGGCAATATTTGAGACTCTGCTTCTTATCTTTATATTTCAGGGATCTTGTAGACAGACCTTTAAAAACTATAAAAGATATGTATAGGCCCTGAAACCTTATGGGAATTTGAAATAGAATTTTACCTTGGAATAGGAATACAGTAAAATACAGTAAAATGGTTAAGGAAATCACTTGCTATCTTGACAACTAAGAGACTATGCAATCCTGTACATATCTATTAAAAAGTACAATTGTGGAGATATTAATTCACCACTATTGTGATTTACAGTATTATCTGCAGAATTATAAATAGAACTGAAAAATTCACAGATGCTCATCTTTGAAAGATGCACTGGGTTTATTTAGGGCAGGCATGTCAAACTTGCGACGTTGCGCGACATATCGTAATTTTTTCCCCATTGCCGGCGATGGGGTGAGCACAGTTTTGGCATGACGCATCCAGCCCACAGGCCGGCAGTTTGACATGCCTGATTTAGGGCTTTTTCCAAGTAATGAGATCTAGGATTGTATCTAAAAGAGTGGATCCTTACTTGGGTTTAAATCTGCTGAAATAAATGAAACTTGGGAGGAGTGCAGTTAATTTGCTAAGCTAAATTTAGTAGTCTTATTCCTAGCATGACTAAATCAGAATCCAGATTTACATATGGTTAAGTAACCAATATTGTAACAACAACAATAATAAAGTTGGAAGGGACCTTGGAGGTCATTTAGTCCAAACCCCTGCTCAGGCAGGAAACCCTATACCATTTCAGACAAATGGCTGTCCAGTCTCTTCTTAAAAAACTTCCAGTGTTGGAGTATTCACTGCTTCTGGAGGCAGGTTGTTCCACTGGTTAATTGTTCTAACTGTCAGGAAGTTTCTCCTTAGTTCTAGGTTGCTTCTCTTGATTAGTTTTCATCCGTTGCTTCTTGTCATGCCTTCAGGCGCTTTGGAGAATAGTTTGACTCCCTCTTCTCTGTGGCAGCCCCTGAGATAATGGAATATTGCTGTCATGTCCCCCCTCGCCCTTCATTTCATTAAACTAAACATACCCAATTCCAGCAACCGTTCCTTATATGTTTTATCCTCCAGTCCCCTAATAATCTTTGTTGCTCTTCTCTGTACTCTTTTTAGAGTCTCAACATCATTTTGCATTGTGGTGATCATTGTGGATGCAGTATTCCAAGTGTGGCCTTACCAAGGCATTGTAAATTGGTATTAATACTTCACATGATCTTGATTCTATCCCTCTGTTAATGCAGCCTAGCACTATGTTGGCTTTTTTGGCAGCTGCAGCACACTGCTGGCTCATATTTAAGTGATTGTCCACTAGGACTCCGAGATCCCTCTCACAGTTACTACTATTGAGCAAGGTACCACCTATACTATACCTGTACATTTGGTTTTTCTTGCCCAAATGTAGAACCTTACTTTTTTCACCACTGAATTTCATTTTGTTAGATAGCGCCCAGTGTTCAAGTCTGTCCAGATCCTCCTGTATTTTAAGCCTATCTTCTGGAGTGTTGGCTATTCCTGCCAGCTTGGTATCGTCTGCAAATTTGATGAGTTTCCCATCTATCCCCTCGTCCAAATCATTGATGAAGATGTTGAAGAGCACTGAGCCCAGAACAGCCCTGGGGCACCCCACTACACACTTCCCTCCATATAGATGCAGTTCCATTGAGGACCACACGCTGAGTACGGCCGGTCAGCCAGCTACGGATCCATCTGGTGGTGATTCTGTCTAACCCACATTTTTCTATCTTATCAAGTAGTAGGTTGTGATCTACTTTATCAAATGCCTTACTGAAGTCCAAGTAAATTATATCCACAGCATTCCTCTGGTCCACTAATTTTGTCACTTGGTCAAAGAATGCAGTAAAATTTATCTGGCATGATCTGTTTTTGACAAACCCATGTTGGCTTTTAGTAATGATTTTGTTTGCCTCTAGGTATTCGCTGATTCGTTGTTTGATTATCTTTTCCAGAATCTTCCCAAGTATTGAGGTCAGGCTGATAGGTCTGTAGTTTTCTGGATCTATTTTTTTCCCTTTTTTGAAGATGGGAACTACATCAGCTCTTTTCCAGTCCTCCAGTGTTCCAGTGCTCCAGGATCTTTGAAAAATATAGTTCAATGGTTCTGAGTTCACATCTGCCAGTTCCTTGGGGTGTAATCCATCTGGTCCTAGTGATTTGAACTCGTCTAGGCTGGACAGGTGCTCACTTACCATTTTCTTGCCTATCTTAACTTGTGTTTCTAATCTGTTTTTTATGTTACTGTTTTTGATAAGTTGCACTGTTTTTTTCCCTTTGGGCTATTTGCTGATATTCTGCCTTAGTTATGTGCCCCTCTTTCCACTTTTTATACGTTCTTTTTATCTTTCAATTTATCAGAGAGTTCTTTATGCAGCCATACTGGTTTCTTTTGAGAGCTGTTATTTTTCTTCTTTGTTGGTATTGTGTAGACTGGGCTTTTATTATCTCACTTTTCAAAATTTCCCAAGCTTCTTGAGTTGTTTTCCCCTTGAGTATTCTCATCCATGGAATCCTTCCCAAGCTCTCTCTAAATTTATTGAAATTAGCTCTCTTAAAGTCCAAGACTCCGGTTTGACCGTGTTCTATTGCTTGTGCTTCCAGAATGTTGAATGCCAATATTGCATGATCACTTCCCCTCAAGGTTCCTGTGGCTTCAACACCTTCTATCATTTCATCTCTTGTTAGTGAGGATTAGATCCAATATGGCTAATCCCCTAGTTCCTTTCTCTACTTTTTGGGAGACAAAATAGTCTGCCAGGTTTGCAAGAAATCTGTTTGATCTTCCACTTGGTGCAGAGTTTGTCCCCCAGTTGATGTCAGGGTAATTAAAGTCCCCCATTACTATTGTGATGTGCTTCCTACATACCTTAGTTAGCTGACTAGCAAAAAGTTAATCTATTTCGTCTGTTTGGTTGGGTGGCCTATAGTATACACCTATGGCAATGTCATTTCCTCCCCCCCCCTTTTATATTGACCCAAATGCATTCAAGACAGTTTTCATCATTGTTGTGCTCTATTTCTGTAGAGATGTAGTTATTTCGTATATAGAGAGCAACTCCTCATTTGTTTGGTCTGTTTCTTTTAAATAATTTAAATCTCTCTAGCTGTGTGTTCCATTTGTGGGTTTCATCCCACCATGTTTCCGTAATGGCAACAATATCATATCTGCCCTCATTTACCTGAATTTCTAGTTCACCCTTGTTTATTTTCATACTCTGTGCATTGGCATATAGACATTGTATTCAGTGGGACTTCCCCAAAAACATATACAGGATTGAACTGCATGATTGTTATAAGATTTGCAATAAGGATATCTTGAATATATTTTACAAGAAGATGAAAGTAATATTCTTTAGAAGGCCTTAGAAATTATTATTATCAGTTGATGTTTCATTTTTTATATTTAGCAAACTAATGCAGTCTGTTATCTAGAACTTAACTGAAGTTTGTTTGGAAAAGATTATTGGATTTCTGGAAAATTTCACTCTTTTTTTTCTTTTCAAGAAACAAAGCCTGCTCCAGAAATCTTTGAGAATGAAATTCTACAGATGCTTAGAGAATTTACTAAAAACAAGAATAAAGAGAAGAGACTACGGCCACCAGATCTGGAGTATCTTGCCGAAGGCTCCCACTGATCTTGTCTGTATTTCCATAAATGCCCAGTTTGGAGAATCCTTTAAAATCATATTTGTGCTTCATGGGCTCCTCTTAAAATACTTTATGCCTAATCTGTGAATTCTCATATAAATAGCCATTTTTCCTTATTGTACTGCTCTGTAATAAAGCTGTTTTTTTCTTGAAAGAAGGACTGAAACACACATTAAGAAACAGTGCACTTTGTCTTTTATTTATTAGATTTTTAGACCATGCAGATCTTGGCAATTTAACAGAAGTTGAAATAGCTGTAATATATTTTTAAATATCTAATGGAACATATATATATTTGTGTGTGTTTTTTGTGTGTGATTTCTAAGGCACAATTTTAACTACTTAAAAGGCTTTTTAACCTGCTCGCCAAAGGATGGGGCTAAACTTATATCTATTAGCTGGCAGTAATCATAATGGAGAAGCACCTCCTCATTTTAGACCAGTGGTGGCGAACCTATGGCATGGGCGCCAGAGGCGGCACTCAGAGCCCTCTCTGTGGGCACGCGTGCCATCACCCCAGTCTTAGGCCTTCAGCTGGGTTTTATAAAACCTTTGCCACCATGTGCAAAAAAAAAAAAAAAGGTTCAGTCAATTTCAACTTCTTGCGGGGAAAAAAAAAGGTCTTGCAAAGTTGGAATTGGTAGATTGAACTTTTTAGTCCCACCCAGTCTGCCGTTACCACCGCAGCCACGCCCAGCCAATGGGCCACACCCACCCGGCACTCCACGGGTTTTGGGTTGAAGTTTGGGCACTCGGTCTCTAAAAGGTTCGCTATCATTGTTTTAGACCCTGTAATCTCCCATAAGAGATTAAGATGAAGAATGTTGAAGACAATAGCCCTGATGCCAAGCCATATAAGATATTAACAGATTAAAACTAACACTTTAAATTACATGAAAATTTACTGGTATTCAAGGCAGGGTCCATGGGTAGATGTTCATGGCATCAGTGCTGGTTAGCATGCAGGCCATTCAGTGGTGGGCTTCAGCCAGTTCTAATTTTTTGTTGCCCAGGCCTAGAATGGTCTTCTGGAAGTGGCATCCACACAGAGAACCGGTTGTTCACATATTTGAATCCCATCACTGAGGCCATTGTATGTTGTGCTACTGCAGTTTCAGAGTAGCTTTTTAAACTGAACACGTAGAGTGAATTGCAACTGGCTAATGTGTTGATGACAGTATGAGTTACTATCCCTCCAGCTTCAGACAGTCACAATTTGGTAATGGCTCTCCTGGCTGTCATTAAAATCAAAGAACCATAGGGCTAGAAGAGACCCTGGGCATCTTCTATCTAGTCCAACCTCCTGCCCAAGGCAGGAGAACTACCCTTTTCCTGCCTAATAGTACCTGCCTGGTAGTAGCCACCTAAGTCATAGATTCCCCTTTCAGAGGCAATACTATTGTGGGAGAGAACCCAGAACTCAAGGAGAACCTTAGTGTTTTGCTTGAATTCAATTGTGGCCCATTTCTCCCCATCTAAATCCCAAAAGCTTCCTGACATGGTTACTGGATGATGGAAACAAAAGCTGTCAGTGATATTTGATTCATCGGTGAATATTTGTTAATTCAATTAGGTATTAATCTTGGGCAATTCCAGGACAGCAGCTTACCAGTAATAATGTGCAATGAAGTACCATGTGAACAAAATTATATTAATTCAGATATGTCAGTGCACATACTACTTTGTATGCAGCAACTTTATGCCTGCTTGTCCAGTTTTTGCCATCTACTTGGCCCAGGTGTTGCTGTCTTAGTTTTCTCAGGCAACTATCGGTTTTTTGTAAAGGAAATTTCATAGGCATTCTTTGTTTTTGGATTCAGATGCTGTGTTCTCAAAACCTAGGTAGAGGGATTTTTTAAAAAAATTGGGAGTAAGTGATCCATATTGTAATCAAATCATCCCTCTCTTAGTGATTATGAGAGTTTTGCACTAGAGCTCCCATCATCCCTGACTATTTTGCCTGTGGTGATTGACAATTGATAGGCAGAAATAAATGTCCAGGGGAGCTTGTAAATAACAGGTCTCCAAAGGAGCTTGTGTACAGCAGTGGCTATTAAAATTTTTAGCTCATTTAATAAAATATAATCAGAATGAGTATTTATAGGAGATTAGTTGCACTTAACAGACACATTCATTGCTTATCTGGTTACTGTAATTTAACAAGTTTGGCAGATGGTAAATGTCTGAATTAGCTTTTAGACGATAAGCTCATTTTGTATGTAAATTTCTTTAGCTCTTTAGTATTTTTATGATTCTAATGGAAAGTGCAGAGATTCAAAATTGGATGGGTATTTGAAAGCCTTAAAAAGCAAGATGTATATTAAAAGATCTTTAAAAGTATTTTTCTTGATCAATCAATACCATCTGTACTGTTTTAAGGCATAATTCAAAGATGCTGTATTAACATAGCATCTTGCTTCCTATTTGCTGTTCCCTTTAAGTGGTGATATTAATTCATAAGAAATAAAAATTCAGTTTGATTTGTGCCATCCTTATGGTTTTATCAGATGTTATTTTGAAGGAAAGATAAATCTGTATTTTTTCCTCAGTTGATCACATGCTGGCTAAACAAATTATAAATAACACTTTCAGAAGGTTAGAATTTAATTTTGTTATGAAGGGCAGTTTTAGCCAACAAAACATTGGACTAACAATTATATACTAAAACAGCTATTTTATTCTATGTCTTTTTATTTATAAAGTTTTAAGTTTTTAGTTATTTTCAAATATGGCAATTTAAAACAGGTTTTTTTTCTAGAATTTCCCGCTTTTAAACATACAGGCTCAAAAAAAAAATTCTTTATTGTATGTACATCTTTTTGATATAACAATATCCCTATGGCGTTGCCTGGAACTACCACAGGGTGTCATTATATGCCTATAGGTGCTACTCTCAATGCTGATGAAAATGAAGATTTTAGATACAGGTTTGATCAAATATATTATGTAGCTTTGTATTTTAGGACTTGCTTAGGAATTTGATCCAGATTCCATAGATTCTTTATTAAGGTCAACTAATATACAGATCTATGACGATAGTTTTACATTCTCAAACAGCTATGATTATGATACCAAAATCTTCACTTGGAATTTGCTCATACTTGCAGATTTGTAGAAAGCATGTACATAAATCCATTTTGTGCAATCAGTATTGCTTCAAATCTCACAAATGGAATAGCATTATTACTATCAAATTCACTGTTTCTATGAATCTAGTCCGACACTGGGTTGAGGCTCACAATTCGAGCATTGCTAAGAAAACTCCCATCCCATTTCCCATTACTCTGAAGGTTAACTTTGAACATCTACTTCACATCTGATAATAATCTGTAATGTGTCTGCCATGTTAAAAAGCCACCAAACTGATTCCACTGGCTTTTCTATTGGATTCTATAAATGTGGCTGTCTTGTGGACAAGTTTTCTTGAGCTGGTTGCTATGAGCTAGTTGCTAGGATACCTATTGTTACTTCAGTTCTACACATTCCTCCAAGTTCTTAACTTAAGGGAATAATTTTGTCCTCTGGGACACTACAAGGATTCTGCTCATTGCAGTAAACCAATCAATACTTTGGCAGGTAAGAACATGATATTGCAAGATGAATCTTGACATTGCTTCATAAAACATAAGTTTTCAGGATAGAGGAGCGATTTGCCTCAAACTTGTATGTAGTTTGCCTTCTCCCATTTGCTATATGAACCATATTCTGTTCAGACTGGTGATAACCACTTTATCATAGATTAGCTAACCATACTATTTGATTCCTTTTAAGGATAATATTGTAGAGATTAAACTTTTATTTAAAATGTATACTTTGTTACTGAACTTTGAGTGCTGGACTATACATTCAAAGTAATTTATTGAAGGATTTAATAGTGCATTTGAAAATGTCAGTGCTTACACATGTTTAAACAGAGCATCTGTTTAAAAGTGGCTATATTACTTAAAACTTGATTTAGGTCTTGTTCCCTAGCTATATATATACATTAGAGAATGCCTACATATTTCAGTTGGTGAGTTCCCAGAAGAGTAAGTACATGTGTCTATTATCAGTATTTCAGACATTTTGGCACTGGAAAGTTCTGTGGTTGAAGTTTTAGATGTTGCTAATGTTTGTATGTGCACAATGGAGAAAAGGATGATTCTTTTGGAGGAATCAAGCTCAACAGTACAAGTTTGAGTAAGGGTTCAAAAAAGAAGAGGCTTGTTATTACATTAGAGCAAAAAAAATTGATGTAATTGAACAACATGAACTTGGAACTTGTTGGAATACCTGAGTCTATAGGGCACAATATTATAAAAATGCAGGGGAAATAAAAGTAAAATTGCACCAGCTTTTTATGGTTTGTAAATACTGCATTTTAAGGAGATCGAGAACCAATAATCACATTTTTGTCAGTGTAAGCTTACCTTTCGGAATGAAATTTAGAAGTTTTTTGTTTTTATTCTGCTTTCTAAAACTACTCTGTGACTTGGTTTATTATAAATTTAAATTATAAATATTTTTTCTTTAATAATTGATATATATATAAACATTTATGTTTAAAAGTTGTTGCTTATTTCCGTTGAATTGAAACCAATTTCCCAATTTTCCACAGAAATCTCACTTTGAATAGTGCAACTTTGAATAAAATTTCATGGGATGTGTTATACAGCACTAATTAAGAGCTAGCTGTAAGAGTATTTGAAGCAATATTATGTAAAATTTTCAGTATTTGAAATAATTTCAACATATCTGCTTCAAAGAGTTATTCTATAAAATGACAAAAAATGATTGTGTTATGTTAGCATCAATTAACTACTGCCTAACTAGTTGCCACATAGATAACACTTCAGATGAACAACAAGGAATAATATATATACTTATCAATTGGCAGCTATAAATTCTGGGCTCTTGCATTTTATTTCTCCAAAGCTCAGTAAAATATAAACAGACTTGCCTTTATAAAGCTTTTTATTTCAGCTGGGTTCACCCCAGTAACTGCAGTAACAATAAAAAGGTTTCAGTAATATACTCCTGGATTTACCAAAAAGCTTCAGGAGATGAAACAGCAGAAGAGACGTTTAGTGTGATATAGTGGTAGGATTCAGCCAGTTCGAACCAGTAGCTAATTTTTTGTTGCCCAGGCCCAAAATGGACTTCTGGAAGCAGCATCCACACAGAGAACCAATTGTTCACATATTTGAATCCCACCATTGGTGTGATAGTGGTAAAAAACGAAATGAACTGACCAGACACACTGGAATCTTGCATTAGGATGGCAACTACTATATCTTCAGATTGCTGTCCAACAACTCTTTTCTGGGGATTGGCAAACAAGACTACTTGCTTCAGTCATTGTGGTCCTTGTGCAAAGCATTTGGAAGACTAAATCTTATTCAGTCAGAACTTGATAATAAATAAATTGATTAGATTTGTAAGACCACCTAATTCAAAGTAACTATATTAAAAGCAAAGCAAAGAAAATAATGAGCAAAAGATGCAACAGTATAAAAGCCTTGGTATATCCTCACAACAACAATAATTCCCTTGAAAACCACATCATTCAAATGAACCAACAGCCTGAGAAAACTCAGATTTTGAATAAGCTAATTCTTGATTTACAACAGTTCACTTAGTGACTGTTCAAAGTTACAGTGGCACTGAAAAAAGTGACTTACGATCACTTTTCACACTTATGACCATTGTCACATCCCCATAGTCATGTGATTTGCATTTGGATGCTTGAAAATTGACTCACATTTATGATGGTTGCAGTGTCCCAGGGTCATGTGATCCCCTTTTGCAACCTTCTGACAAGCAAAGACAATGGGGAAGCCAGATTCACTTAACAGCCGTGTTACTAATTTAACAACTGCAGTGATTCACTTAACAAATGTGACAAGAAAAATTGTAAAATGGGGGAAAACTCACTTAACAGATTTCTCACTTAGTGACATAAATTTTGAGCTCAATTGTAGTCATAAGTTGAGAACTACCTGTACTTTTTAAAATAAGATCTGGGTGCTTGATGATACTTAGGGAGAGCCTTAAAAGGAGAATGGAACTAAATTCTACTGGATTATCTGGGATACATTTGATGCTGTGGACTCCAAGGAAATAGACAAGATTCTTGATAGCACAAATTTATGTCATGTAGCGGTTGGAACCTTGCCTTTTCTTGTTAATAAGAGGACTGGAAGCTGGATTAGGGAAGTCATGAATGCCTCTTTAAGGGAGTAGATAGTGCTCTCTGCACTGAATAACACAGTATGTCTCTTCCTGAATGGGACACTTCTAAATTCAGGAAATCTGGACAATCTCTACCCCATTTCATCCTCCTTTTGGGGGAGAAGTCTTTAGAGTAAGTAGTGTGGGTTCATTTGCAGAATATCATAGCAGAAGTGGATTCTCTGGATACTAGGTTCAAACCTGGATATAAACTATTAATAGCTCTTAAGGATGTCTTGCAACAGGATCTGGGGAAAGAATGCAGCCCTTTTGATCCTGTTAGATTCACAGGAGTCTCATAGGAGCCATTGATAACATCAACCATAGTATCTTCCTGAGAGTTGGAGATTGGAAGTACATCTTTTACACTACTCCTTCCTAAAGCAGATGATTTTACTCAGTATTGTTTGAGAAGAAAGATCAAAGTTTTGCCTATTACATGGTGTGCTTTTTTCACCATTCTATTTAACATCTATTTGAAATCATGAGATATTAGCTGCTGACCTGAGGTAAAATACCATCACTATGCTGAAAATACTCAGCCCTATCTCTCTATCTTGATGTAAACAGATGAAACTCAAGGATTTTATTTTCTAGAATGGATGGGGTTGTGTTCCCCCTCATGGAGTAGGTATATCCTCTGGCAATTCATTTGGACTCTGAGCTCCTGCTGGAACAGCTAGTGAAAACTATGGTCAAGAAACCCTTACCTAATTTCAGCTAGTGTACTGGCTACACCTATTCATGCTCTCATTACAACATACTTGAACTACTGTTGGTAGAAATTCTAGCCCACTGAATAACACCAAACAGCAAGTTGAAATTAGACAGAGATTTATTGGCTACAACGGTTTGCAAAGCGTGGTGGACTCCAAATAAATATTTGAGCCACACCTAGTCACAGTAAAAACACACATTATATACATTCTATCCCGACGCCTTGGCCCCTCCTCTGAGGTTACAATCTTATCAGGATCGCCTAAACAAAATACATTATCCCTGCCCCTTACTATTTTGCTTCAACTATTCCCTTATATGTACTTTATCATGAAATCCTATAGCTCAGTGTGGAAATCCTATAGCCTACGTGCAGAACTCTTCCAAGGTACGTGTACATGTAGAAATTGTGTAGAAATCTTGCAGTCTACATGTAGAAATTTTATGTAGAAATCTTTCTGTCTGCGTGTAGAAATTTTACAGAGTACGTGTCACTTAACTTTACTTTTTATTCTAAAATTTTATTCCTAACACTACTACAATACACACTCTACTTGGTGCTGTATTTGAGGGACATTCAAATATTTCAGCTATTCAATGTGGCTGACAACACATTTCCTCTGAACATTGTACTGGCTACCCTTAGGTTTCTGGATACAGTTCCAGGTGCCAGTTTAAATCCTTTTATGACTTGGGTCTTGGCTACTGAGGAATAATTTGTTCTAGTTTGGATCTACCCTTCCTTTGTGATTGAAATAGCAAGAAATGCTGTGGGTTTCTATTCCTCATGAAGCTAGAGATGGAGACCAGAAAAATATGCCCTTTCTGTTACTACCTCAGACCTGTGGAATAATGTCTCGCTTGAAGTAAATAAAGAGAGAGGGTAGACATTTAAGAAGAAACCTTAAATGAATATCTTCTGCAAAGCTTCAGTATCTTACCTACTGAAAGTTGCTATTGAAATTTATTAATTGTAGTCTGTTATTTCTGTTATGTGTTTATGGCTTTAAATGCTGAAATTATTGCAAGCCATCCATCCATACAATTGAGGAGATATAGAAATGATGTTGACTAGTCAAATAAAATGAGTACTATGCTACATAGTGTCAAACCTGAGTGCTAACGCCATTTTGTTGTATTATCCCAATTACAATCCACTTTAGTTTTATTATGTTTTTTTTTTTTAAAAAAATCTTAAGATTCTATGATGTCACAGAGCAGTGTGTGAGCTCACTCTGCTCCCAGGTGATCTGATTCTAAACAGTCTAAATAAATAACTCTCAAAGCCAAACTGATTTTTCCTTTTGGTACTCAACAGCTTTCTAGTACTTCTCCACTATGATCAGTGGCCAGTCTTCTATGATAACTGTTTCCCCAGGAAAATCTTGTATCACAAAAACTTTTTCTGTATCCACAGAGAAGATGGGACGTCTCCCCTTAGGTTCAGTTTCTCCCTATGTAAAAACAAGCTCTGGTGGAAGTATGGACCCCATGAAATTCTATTGCACCAGCTATGGGGCAGCTTATGGTAAGACTTTAACCAATATAGAAAATAATTTATTCTCCTCAGTTAATCTAACAACTAGAGTTTGAACCTTGCTTTTTACTTCAGATTGGAAGAACGTCCAATATATAATTTGTCCAGATGAAAAGCTACAAGTTAGTAACTGTGGCACATGAGCAGAGAGGAAAGGACAAATTTGAGATTCTTTAGGATTTGTTCTAAAAAATGTCAACAATATGTTTGGGAATTATATCAAGAAATACACAGAATTAACAGCTAAGTATATCTTTCTGTTATAAGCTACTCTCCTTTTTCTACATCCATATACTTCCGTGCTTGAAATTGGGAAGAAATGGAAAAAATACCAACACTAAGTAATATAATCAAAACTATAGTATATCTATATGAATGTAATAAATCTTAGGTAAATTTGCCACATTATATTATATGCATCAACCATTCTGGGTTATATAAATTTATATTTCATAAAATAATGTGTAAAAGTTTGTATTTAAAATAGCTTATTACTATTATCTATTTCTCTTTCCTGGTGTTTTTGTTTTAATTAAATGATAATGTTGGGATTTCCTTTCCTTTTCTTTCCTTTCCCCTTCTCTCTCCCTTCCCTTTCCTCCTTCCCTCCTTCTCCCCTTCTTCCTTTTCCCTTCAGAAAGCAAAGTAGTAACCTGCAATATCTTTATTTCAAAAATTTCTGGACCTCAAACATAGTCCCCCCCCCTTGTAATCTGCAGACTTGCCCCCAAAAGATAGTAGTAAGCTGGAGTCCTGGTTGGCAGAGGGCAAATTCACCAAATAAAATGGTCACTCTCAACGACTGCCATTTTGTGAGGAAACAATCAAACCTCCTTGTGATAGCCATTTGAGGAGATATCAGAACATGTTTTCAACATTTAGAAGTCTTGTTAAGCTGCTATTTTGTATTATAATTTATTACAGTGCCTTGATGGAAAGGTGATTTGGTCTGGCAGTATAATAAGAAAAATAATGACAACCTTTTTTTTCCCCCAGGTCAGGAAGGCTTTCGTCCTCGGAATGGCTTCCATTCTGGAGCAGGATATAAAAGCAACTACCGGCCTGTTGTCCAATACAACCCAAACCTAGATAAATTAGATAATCCAGCTGTGGGGTCAGTATCTCCTTTTTCAGGCCTGTACAATGTTTCAGGCTGAGATAGAGTAACTCGGATGTTTCAGCCACCCTCTCTATGAGTACATCGTTAATCTCTCTCTCTCTCTCTCTCTCTCTCTCTCTCTCTCTCTCTCTCCTCATCACTAAGACTTTTGTTGTCATGACTTTTAACTGATTGAAATAGTGCCTCATAGGACAACAGTTTTTGAACCAAGGTATCTCAAATGCGCTAACTTACAGAATGTGTCCAAAATACATGAAAATGACATTTGGGAAAGTTACAGTTGTTTTGGCGCTATTGACAACTGCTGCATTCATGGGATCTTCATTTTCAATGTTTTCTGACAGTTTCCCAGCCAGTCTTTTAATCCCTCTCTCACTCCCCACACCCAGCAGCAGCCACTTACCTGCCTGCTTGAAAGGGAAGGGGAGGGAAGAAAAGGAAGGGAAATTTCCAATGCTCCCCGCCAGATTCCTACAAGAAAATTCAATGAAAAAACTGGCAGGAAGTTGGAAGTTACTTCTGCTTCTACTGCTTTTTTGTTTTCCTTCATTCTATTCCTCTGTTTAGGCAAGGAAATATCTCTGAAACAATGACACATTATCTAGCACTCCCATAATTCTTACTCCTTAACAGCATGGTTCTTTTTCCTAAAGTCTCTCTAATGTTGCCAGAAAGTGCAACTACAAAGTCTGTGACCAGAGAACATCCATAAACTCAGTGTGCTCATCCTCCATCATTTCCTCTTTGCAGACAGAGCGGTCGTGATATTATAGGGCTATGCAAATCTTCTAGGGAGTGCTTGACTTGGATAAATATTTGAAAGAAACACTTTCTGGAAACTGCTTCAGGAAGCAACCGAGTCATTTCACTGTTAAGAGCCAAGTTAAGTGATCACCTGGCTTTGATTTGCTCTGCTGTCCAACACTCTCTGCTAACACTCACCAAGCTTTGACAAGAGCTATTGGGAAAGATATTGCTCATCCTCCAGACCTGGCAAGTAAGGCAGATGCTTGCCTCCTCTGGCAATGCTTGCCAAAGGTTTTGGTGAGTACTACAGAAGACACCCTCCTTGCTTCCTCTAGATAATGTTAGCCTTTCCAAATAGATTAGACTACAAAACCAATGCCAGGTAGATTGATACTGCTTGTATTGTAAAGCTACCTATAATAATCTATAATAAAATGCCCAGAATAATGCAAGTCTGAATGTGCTTCTCTCTTCCCTCCCTTTATATTTGTGTGAAGTAGAGAAATGTCTGAGACATTTCTTTTTTGGCCATGTTCAGCCTCTTTTAGTTGACTATTGCCTTGGTAGCGGATCTTCCTCCTGTCCTACAAGGTCATTCCTTCTACCCTCCCCCATTGTTTTCCAGAAGCTTTGGCAAAAAACAGCAGTCTTCTCTAGTTTTTCCTTGTTAGACTCCAGAGAGCTTCTTTCTCTGCAGTGATTGCCCAGTCTCTCTTGATTTGGCAACCAATAGGTGAGAGACAGGGAGAAATGAAGCAACGTGAAATGCTCCACCAAAGCAAATGGCACTGTGTAGCCTCCTATTTTTGGCAAAAAGAACAACATAGCTTCTGCAGCACATATCTACAAATATAACCATTGGCTAACATTTTGTACGACATAATCCACGCCACTAGAAATTATACTATGACAGTGCATTACAGGATTCAGTTTTTCTGGTTAGTATTTGTCTTGTACTCTCAACTGGATTTTTTTTCCAGCTATAAAAAAATGTGACACAACCACACTGTTCAGCATCAGCAGCATCAACGTTTGAAATCACTGTCCAAAGTGGACAGCTTTGGTGCTGCTTAGGTAGACTTAATCACCTGCTTCTTTTTATTTTTTTGCCAAAAGTTTTATTAGTTTATAATATACGATACAATGAAAGTACAAAAGTAAATAGCGGAAAAGATAGAGAAGGGGAAAGGGAGTAGAGAAGTGAGGTGAGAGAGAGAGAGAGAGAGAGAGAGAGAGAGAGAGAGAGAGAGAGAGAGAGAGAGAGAGAGAGAGAAGGCACCGACTTCTGACTTCCTTTGGTGCAGTAAAGTAGAATATCAACATCAAAGCTCAACTTTTTCCTTTTAAAAAATAATATAAACTAACTCTTCTGATAACATCAGGTCTATCTAACTGGTAAAACCCAAAATCAAACAGATGGCTTCCCTAGTTTGCTTCTAATAGTGCTCAAACCGATCTGCTTTTGCAATCCTGCTTCAGAAATTCTCCAAAATAATTTTCTGCTCATTTCTGGAGAATCATAATAATTAACAACTATTATTTCTGTAGAGTGCATCATTTGTTAAAAAGGCACAAGCAGCTATGTTTACCCTGCTTTGGGAAATGCATATTAAATCACCAAGACTAGTAAGACTAGATGGGTACTCTCAAAAACAGAGGCAATCTGAGTACAGATACCTGATCAGGAGGTATTTGATAACTCTAATTCAAAACAGCATGCTGCCTATGACTCTTACTAGGTTGGCAAAACAGATCACTCCAGGTTCTCAAAAAGTGAATCTGGTAATGTGTGGTGAACATGGGAAAAACTCTTAAACTGTTCAGTGATCTAATACAGACTATTTGCATCTGGACATCAATTTTGAGGTTATAAAATCAATGATCTGTCTCAAGAGGACATCATTAAAGTGGATAATATGAAACCAGAGGGCTTTAGGTGAAGAAAGTCTGGATTCTCCCATTTGGTAGATTGGTTTTGAGTCAATGGGATTCAGAATCCAGAACTGTACAACTAACAGTATTTCTACAATAAAGTACTTAAGGCCTTGGTATACTGACTTGTGCTGGAATACTCAGGCAAAGCCATGATAAAGTCAACCACTGCATTTGTCACTAATCTACAAATTGTGTGAGTACAATCAGTCTCATACATTAAATGTTGGCACTAAATATGTGGTTAATGTTGCCACATTGATAAGAGCTCTGGTTTGTTTGCTTGTTTTGTTTGATAATCCATGATATCTTTAGGAGTCATCTCCAAATCTAGGACATGAGCAAAAGTCCTAAAATGCTTTTGGGCTGGAAAGCAGAAGTGCTCTTGAGCTGAATACATGTATGTTATCTTCCCTAAACCAGGAAACTCCTCCAGGATAACTACGAATCAACAACCAATAAACATTTTCAGCCCCTTCAGCTCCCAGATGGGAAGTATCCTCTTCCCTGGAGTGTACATCAGCCAGGCAGTGGGTATGTTCGAGAAAAACCTCTAACTTTTCCCACAACCAAAACAGTAAGTAGCCTAACTTTACATTCTGGCTTTCTCTTGTGGGTGTATGTTTTCCTGAGAATAGCAGTAACAGTATCCACTGATATTGACTTAGGGTTAGTATCATTAATTGGGTATGTCTAGTTTAATGAAAAGAAGGATTAGGGACGACATGATAGCAGTGTACCAATATTTGAGGGGCTGCACAAAGAAGAGGGGATCAACCTATTCTCCAAGGGTACCTGAAGGCAGGGCAAGAAGCAATGGATGGAAACTAATCAAGGAGAGAACCAGGCTAGAATTAAGGAGAAGTTTTCTGACAATTAGAACAATTAATTGGTGGAACGACTTGCCTCCGGAAGTTGTGGGTGCTCCAACACTGGAGGTTTTAAAGAAGAGATTGGACAACCATTTGTCTGAAATGGTATAGGGCAGTGGTGGCGAACCTATGGCACAGGTGCCAGAGGCGGCACGCAGAGCCCTATTTGTGGGCACGCGCGCCATCGCCCCAGTCCTAGGCCCAGCTGAGTTTTATAAAACCTTTTCACTTTAGGCCTCCACCGCCATGTGCAAAAAAAAAAAAAAAAGGTTCAATCAATCAGTCAATTTCAACTTCTTGCGGGAAAAAAAAGATCTTGCAAAGTTAGAATTGATTGATTGAACTTTTTAGTCCCATCCAGTCTGCCGTTACCACCACAGCCACGCCCAGCCAATGGACCACACCCACCTGGCACCCAATGATGCAAAAGTGGGTTTTGGGTTGCAGTTTGGGCACTCGGTCTCTAAAAGGTTCGCCATCACTGGTATAGGGTTTTCTACTTAAGCAGGGGGTTGGATTAGAATATCTCCATGGTCCCTTCCAATTCCGTTATTCTGTTAGGGTTCCCTGCACTGCAGATGTGGATCAATGCTGAAATCTTTGGATAATTGAGCTTCTCTCTGCATAGTCACAAGATTAGTGCATTCTACTGCCATGCAAGGTGAAGATTGTGGAAGCAAAATTGCTAAATTTATAAGATCAGGTGAGAATGTGTCAGGATTCAGAATGAACAAAGATGACTAAGAGAGTTAAAATCTGATGTCGCAAATGGACCAGCACAAATGACTATGTATAGCACAATCCTATATATATTACTCAATTCAATTTTAATGTACTGTGTGTACAATAGATAAATGGGACAACATTTCAAAAAATATCTCAGACTTGTGTAGCTTTGAATGTATGTGTGTGTCTCTGTATACATGTGGAGAAACAGTACCCATATGTGCATTATCAAATAACATTGGAAAACTCATTTACCAAAACTACAATTCTGCAGTTTTCTGAGTGGTTCTTTAAATGATTCAACAGTCATGAATGGGATTCTGGGGAAATCCAATATACCTGCAGAGCAACTGATTGTTGAAAGTGGCCACAGGAGACTTTCATAAGATTAAATCTTCCGCAAACTTGCTTACTCTTTTTTAAAGCCAGGATGATATTGTTTCAGACTGTTCTGACTTTTTCAGATCTGGACATAAATTGAGATACTATGAAAACAGAATTGTTTACACGGGAGGAGATTTATTTGTTTACTTGCTTATCCACCCGGCTGCACAGAATGCATTACCAAACAAAGCTTGGCTAGCTGGTTAGTAAGAGACTGAATTATCCTGATCCTTCCCAAAGTTCATTCTACATTCCTCCTTTTCAAAATAAATAATATTAAGGCATTGAGGAATCATCATCAAGATTTAGAACTTGATCCAATGAGAGCTGCTATATGTATGTTCATGTCAATATAGGTAACATTTCAAGTGAAACTGCTGTGATAGAAGAGAGCTATTTGAGAAAGTCTGTGCCTTAATATGAGCCCTGAAAACACACAAACATAATTTTAATAAGAACTCAGCTACCCTTGTAAATATGCAACTGGTTATATTCTACTTAGACAAGAAAAGGGCAGTGGCATTGATGTCTAGTTTTGCCAAATGCAAAGGCTTCATAATTATGGTCTTACTTTACTACATTGTTGTACAAAATACAGTTTACGTTCTATGTTGTGGGCTTTTAGAAAAATATCGTAGCTTTATTTTTCAAAATGTTCACTACAACAGAGATTAAAATGTTTATGCAATTCTGCAATTGCTGCAATTCATACTATTTTGTTTAAAGTTTATAGAAAAAAAAAGAATGAGACAGAGGGGTATGACATTTGTTATTTCACTGCTTTCTTGTCTTCTGGTAACAAGACCTGGCCATAAAATAAAACGCGGGTCACAGATAGAAAATGTTGTCTTGGCATTTCTGCCCTTTCTGATTGCTTTCAAGACTTGCCCTATCAATGGAGGAAAGCATTTGTTTCAGACGACTGATTTTGGATACTATAAAAGGCAGCAAACAGTTATCTAAATCTATTGGAGTTTCTTGGACAGAGAGTGTGTGTTTGCTGCCTCAGGTGCCCAAAAACTTCAGCAGCTTTTGAATCATGCCTATTTACTTACTTACTTATTTAACTTTGGGGTATCAGCCCACACCAACAGACCCTGTTGTCTTAATGCGGACTTTGGATGCCACCGTGTTTTCTATCATTCAGCAAAATGTCTTGGAATGGTCCTCCTTGACCTTCTTCTCTCCTCTTTTCCTACAGCAGGTTTAGCAGCATCTCCATTCCCTTCATCCCATTGTGTTTTAGCTTGTTGTTCTTCTCAGAGACCAACTGGATTTGATATTACAGGTCAAAAAGGTCCATTTTGACACAGCCAACCAGGGACCTGAAGCTGTGATAGGGCTGGAGCCCAGATATGTCCCTGTGCTCCACAATTCATTTGGAAAAGGCTCCGTTGAAGTGGAAAATGCAAGACACGTGAGTCTGTGGGCTCCAATAATTGAAGTGAGATGCCATTAGAAGCAGTGGTGGGATTCAAGTATGTGAACAACCAGTTCTCTGTGTGGATGTCACTTCCAGAAGTCCATTCTGGGCCTGGGCAACAAAAAATTGGTTACCGGTTCTGCCATACTGGTGCGAACTGGCTGAATCCCACCACTGATTAGAAGGCTGTAAGGGATCGGGGATTTGATATGTGGTGCAGGTCGTGATATTGGAGGAGAAGCACTTATAGGGATTTTTGCCTCAAATGTCAGAACAATTTGGATAAACCTGGGTACTCAATAAAAAGAGGATATTGGCCAGGGGCAGGCATTTGCTGCTCTGCTCAAATAGGAAAAGATTCTGAGTAAGCCCTGGCTTTATAAATGATAACCAGTACTTTGAATTGGGCTTGGAAGCTTGTCAGCAGCTATAAAAATAAGACAATTTCAACTACACATGCTCAGGCTTCATTACAGTTGAGAATTAGACTGAGAGGTTGTGTCAAAGACATCACAGAAAATGTGAGCATTGAGTAGCAATTTATAGAAAATAACAGCTGGCATTGAAAAGAAATTAGACATGAAATCCAGACATGAAAGACAGCTAAGGAGAAAGGGCAATGTTTTTTAAAAGAGCAAGAAAACTAGAGATACCTAAGTACAGCAAGAATAACTAGTTTACTCACAAAGAGAAAAGCAGATGAAATATAGCTTAGTGAGACTTTGAGAAGAGCGGTTAATTCCAGAGAATGTGGTCTTCATCTCTGTTGTATTTGTAGGGACCTCAGTTCATGTCCACGGAATATGGCTCTAAGTACCATTTCAACATTCCCGGGCAACCAGGTATAATTTCTATGCATGGAATACAACATAATATTCGCTACGTTTATGCTACTATTATGCATTAAAGCATAATTTGTTTTTTTGGGTGGCGGGCTTGGATTATCACAACATTTGAAACTATCCATGGTGGTTTTTTATATCAGTGTATCTCCCCCTTTGAAACTCATATCCCATTCTCTGAATATTAAATTCCTAAATCAATATATTAAAACGTAAAATTATAGTTTGAAATAGAGCTTGTGATGCTTCAGTGGGATAATTTGATTTAATAGAGTCACTTTGAAATACTATAGATCCACAAAACACTATATGTCACATTTAACTCTTAATTCGGAATAGCTAAACCATTTTGCTTTAGCTGTGTCTCTGGCCCTCTAGAATTGCCTTTCACAGACTTATTCTGCATCAGCTTACTTTGGATCTCCCCCCCCTCCTCCCAGATCCTTCTTTGCTGCCTTAAAATGGTAATGCAGGGAAGTACTGAGAGGAAAGAATGAGGAACATCAGACGTATAGAAGAAGAGTATGTACTTTTAGCAGGGTCATCCAAGGTGTGAAGATCATCCCAGCTGCTCAGCTAAAACAAAGGATTCTATTAGGCAACAGTGGTATAAGATGTTGGAGGCAATGATCACTTTAATGACAACAGCAATGGTAAGGCACTCCACATTTTAGCATGCTTATATTTTGCCAAGATAATTCCATGAATAAACATGATGAAAGTGATTGATAACAGTCCTCTGTGTTGGGTCCCTCAAGTCTGAGGCATTCAGTTATGATGTACTTCAATTAAAGCTTTTGAGATGTCTATTTGCTGATGCAACCATGCAGAAAAGGAAAATCCAAAACTGTAAAGACCAAATTATAGTGGCAACATGGAATATAAGTAGCATGAACACAGGAAAGCTTAACACAATGAAAGGTGAAATGAATCTTAGGCATCAGGCACTTGAAATGCACTGGAAGTAGACACCTTCAATCAGAAGACAATACAGCAGAAATATTTCTCTTGTAATAAGAGAAGAGAACAAAGATATCAGAAAGAATCTTAACACAGAATTTCAGGTGTTAGAAAACACAAGCAGTATTATAACATCTGTAAAGACATCAGAGATGGAAACAGACATAGAAATATAAGAAAGGTCTTCCAAAAATTTTCCAAATTCAGAAGGAATTCACTTGCCATGATATTCTGCATCTACAAAGATCATAACCAAACAGGCAATGGTTTCTCCATGATACTGTTTGGAAGTTGGAGTTTGAAGAAATAGTACAGAAAAAGTATTCAGGCTTTTGAAGCTTGGGAAGACTTTTCAGAATCTTATGGATTTCCACAAAAACAAATCATTCATAGAAGAAATCAATGCAGAGGTCTTACTTGAAGGACAAATGACTAGATTCAAATTATAATATTTTGGTCCATTATGTTATCTTTGGCCCCAAAATCCAATTTCCATGAAAAACCCATAAGGCTGGGAAAAATGGAAGGAAGAAGACAATCAGTAGCAAGGTCAATGGGTGAAATATTGAAGTTGGTATGCTATTGGAAGACTTGAAGGGATAGGTTTGGACAGATTATGTTGGAGAAGGTCTCTCTATGATGTTATTAAGAGTCGACACCAACTTGATGGCACGTAATCAATCAATGAGAGCTGGATAAGAATCTACCAGCCAATTCTGTTGCTTTCCATTACTAATACAGTAACTTCACAACCATTAGAAAGCACCAATTGAGATTATTAAATATACATTTCAATAATTATTTTGTTTCTGTTTTGTTTGGGGAAGGTTGTCTTTTATCATTTTTATTTCTAGTCCCATGGTGATTTTGGCACTGAAGCCATACGTTTTTAATAATGATAGAGTTGCTTACATAATTTAAAACTGGAGATCAGAGAAATTTTTTAAACAACATCTCAAGAACTGTGAGGTACTTTGAAAAGTCTTCATTTCCTGGGACAGTTTCTCACTGGATGAATGTCACATACAAATGCTCAAATCCCTGCCCTGTCTAAAAAATAACTTCACATAACAGGTAGCAGCAATGCAAAATCCATGCAGCTATTTCAAGGAACACTTCTGCATACTCCAGATTTCTGCTATGGAATTTTGCAGTTTTTTAAAAAGCATTCTTTTCTATGAAGCTTGCATGTAATATCTGTCATATAGTGAGTGAGCATCATAGAAGAAAGAGCAACCGATGAAGGCATATTGGCTCTCTTTGAATATATTAAGAACAACAGTTGTTTGAGTAAGGGGGCCGGGTGGAACCTCCAAAGGTTTGCTAAGAATAATGTATCATCTCCCTCCTCCCTTCCTTGATTTCACTGTTGGGTAAGATGCAAGGGACTTGAGGAAATAGCAAATTATAATGGCTAAGGCTTCAGCTATGTTTATATAGAAAATGAAGCAATTTTAATCACAATTGGCTAGGCATCAGCTCTAGGATCAGAGAAAAAGTAAACCTCTGAATAGCAGTTAAAAGAGGAAAAGCATTCAGAAAAGGATAGCACTATATGAGTATTAGACCCTTTTAAACTTAATATTCAAAGCTAAAACTCTCACAAGGTTTTGCATGACTCACTGGTGTTAATTTGTGAGAACTGAACAAATCAGTCCAGCTTCCCAAGATATTTTTTGAAGTGATCTACTTCATATGCTCCTTTCCCTCTCAATGGACATCTTTATTTTTTTTTTTCTCCATATAGATTTCCTGCAAAAGAAAACAATTGGAGCCAAAGAAGAGTCAGGATTTACTGAAGGCTGCCTGGCTAACCCCATTGTGGAGAAACTAACATCTCAGGTCCTCCGATAACTTTGGTTTCTTCTGCTGTTCTTCCCAAGGGGCAGATGAGGCATCGTGTTAAAGATGCTGCAAAGCAGACTCTGGCAAATTGGTGCCCTTCCTCTTGTACAATTTTCCTTGAGTTTCAACAATTGCTCTCCCTCAATACCTGGGCTCCCTTTCTGTCAGCGTTGTCTCTCGGGAGGGGGGGGGTCAAAAAATCAAGATGATGGCCACAACTATGTGACCAACTGTCACCTTTTTAGATCACAATGCACATAAAAATGGGCATGGCATGGTTGTAGCCACCATCGGAACTTTTTTGACCGTCTCCAGGCAGGGATTCCTGTTTACAAGAGGAGCAGAACAATTTGTGAAACAAAAGAAAGGAGAAAACTCGCATTCCAGTAAAGGTTTTATTCAGCCCAACAGATGGATAATGGTGAAAATAGAAAGAATATAAAAAAGGATACTAAAATAATTTGGACAATATATATATATTGTCCAAGAAACAGCTAAGAAACAGCTAAGACCACACATTGCTGCTCAAAGCACGAAGCTGAAAACACCAGCCTGAAGATGACGAATGGGACTTCGTCGAAACGTCGCCAAGACACTTCCAATTTTACGCGGGAGAAAACCCGAACAACCAAAGACCTACATACAAATACCCGCGAAAACCTCAGAATATATATATATATATATATATATATATATATATATATATATATATATATATATATATATATATGATATAATAATATTTTTTAAATGGATAACTTGGGTACATTTCAAGTAGTTCAGCAAATACCTAAAAAAGAATAAATTCAAGTTATAGAAATAAGTTGTCAAATTAATTTAAAAATAATTTAAAAATCTGTTTATGGAACTCAGATATCAAATTCAAGAATATTGTCTTCACGAGCATAAGAATAATTAGTTACAAGGCACATCACCATTTTAGAAACATGCAGCAACTCTTTTATCTCCATTGAGAATGAAAGTAAATGAAAAAGAAGAAAAATCTCCATTAAACAAAAAAGTAAGGCATTATTTTACCTTATGGAATTATCAGAGCGTTTTGCAAAACCAACTGAGGTTGAGAGCAATTCTTTGATTTGTAGTACAAAAGGGATTGTGAGGTGCAAGGGAAACATTCTTAATGAGAGACATGTTTAAATCAAGGGTAAGTACAGAATATCTTCATTTAAATCCTTGGGCTAAGATTATTCACTAGTAGCATTCCATGATATGGTATTCTGTTGCCCACAAGCATAAATCTGAAAGGTTGTAACAATTATTCACATGTTCAGTTTGACCTACAAGATAATACATAAACCAGCATGATGATAAAAGAAGGCAAGCAAGCAGACTTTCTTAGTCTTAGAACTGTGACAAATTTGCTTTGTTCCTGATTGGCTTCCCTTGAAACTTTCTCTCTAAAAGCTGAAATGTGTGGTATGGTGACTTTGTTCTGGAACATGACAAAGGTAAGAGGGCTAAAGCCTTCCCCTGCACACTGCAGTCTAATTTGTCTTCTCTTCAATCAAGGTTTTTATGTATATGCATGTTATCATAGCTGCCCATTTCGCAAACCTGACTTCAGGCAGCAAACAATAAACAAGAAGGAGACAAACAAATTTGACTCTGGGCAGCAAACAACAAACAAGCTATGGAGATTCTCAGTCCCATGACTCTCTGAAAGAACACAAATGACCAGCTGTCTGCAAGGAGTATAAATCCTTCCATCCTCCACCATCTAGTCAGAGCTGAAGGAGCTTCTTGGATAAGAAGTGAAACGTCTTCAAAGAATAACGAGAAAGTCCAGTTGCCTTCCGAACAAGCACCTTTGGGACAACAAACAAGCCATAAAATGAACAATATTAAAAACAATCCACAATTTTTTTAAAAAATCAATATTATTAAAAGATTAGGATGTTAGGCAGTGTAGCCACCTCTTCTTAAAAGAAAGTGCATTAGAATTCTGAAAATGCAAATAACACCCAGCTTGCTTGATCCATAATTACAATGTTTGTTCCTCATTGTTAGAAAATTTCCAGAATCCCTGTAGGATTATGTTTTTGCTTTTCTGATAACTTTCTATAAATGCTCTTGTTTCCATTGTACTATGGCACTCCAATGTTCTCTGCTAGCACTGGACTTTTTATTACTAATAAATTTCAAATATTTTCATTAAGCAAAATTTTTTTGCCAGGTCCCAGGATTATCTTGGTTTCCCCCAAATATATATCTTTCCTTTTTCTTCTATGAAAATTGAATGGCTGTAGCCATGGATTATTTTAGAAATATGCCCACTTGCCAGTAACAGGTCCAAGGTATGCTAAGGTAGCATACAGGAGCCAAAACTTGAGGGTAAGGTAGCATTCTAATAATTTGATACTTTCTGGCTTGTTATAGCTTTCAGGAGCTATTTTTCCCAGCACGGTCCTTTTCAAGGGTATAAATTGCAACAAATCAGGACACAAATTCCCAGACTGAAGGTTCCAGAATATTATTTTGCCTAAGGTTCCCCATACAAATAGTAAGGTGACCAACTTTTTTACAATGAGAAGGAGGACACAAATAAATTGAAGAAAAAAACTGAGTCTAATGCGTGCGTGTGTGCCGTGTCATGTTTCGGTAAGAAGTAAACAAAGCCACTTGCGTGTGGCGCACTCTTGCGCACGGCACATTCTCTCAAAACAATTCTCCTGTGCGGAGTGCATGCGTCTCATAATCGCATCTCACCGCACTGTACCGAGCCTTGACGAATCGTCATGTCAAATACAAATACATCACATCACACGCAACGGATTGGATCGGCATCAATCGAATACAGAGATTTACAGATTAGTCTTCAAATATCAAAAAGGAGGACATGTAGGAGGACATCTTTCGAGAGAGGACAGAACTTACAAAAGGAGGACTGTCCTCCCTGAAAGAGGACGGTTGGTCACCTTACAAATAGCAAACTCATTTTCTTTATCTGTATGTGGCTAAAAGAGTATCCTCCTTGTAGAAGAGACGCTTGAGGGAACCCCTAGATTTGAAGACACACAAAAACCTTTTATAAGAAAGAAAAGAAAAAAAAAGGAAAGGTCCCAGCTAAGATCAATGAAATCTGAGCATGCTTGTTTGACTTGAAATCCTGGGTGGGGGAAACAACCTAATGGAATGGAGTACTATGAAAAAGGGTATATCTGGTGGAAACTTACATACACTATATGCTTTTGTTATAATTACTACTTATACCCTGCCATAATAATAAGGTAGTAATAATAATTACTTATGCCCTGCCATAACTGATCCAGATACCACCAGTATTAGTTCAGATAATCAGATAGTATTAGTAGGTCTCCTGTTAATCTGGCTCTTTCTTGTTGTTTTTCAACATAGTAAAAGCTATAATAAAATAACTGTTATATCCAATCTGTTTCTCTCTCTCTAGGTCTAAGTAGTACTTTTCATTTGTTTTGCTTTGTTAGGACAGCAATCCTGGAATCAGCATCATGAAAGCAGATTATCTACCATCTTCTGTTCCTCATGTAAGGAGTCCATCTGCTGGCGTGGATGGGGCTGGATGAACAAATATTATTTCCATTTTTATTCTCCAATATCTATTCCTGTGTGTGTATACTGTAGCTATCCACACATCTTTATTTATTTTTTCTTCCTGAAAGGGGGATGAGTTTCTACCGGTCCTTTCCAAAGGTTCTGAGCGGGGCTCTGGATTTAATCGGCAGAAGGATCTTCGCCTTAGTTCTTCAGTAGGTGACAGCTCCTTGTTGACAGAACGGTCTTTTCCCATTTCATTTTCCTCTGCTTTGAACTTTTGTTCAAATGTGTCCAAAATTTTTAACAGCTACTTCCGAATTATCCTTATGCTTGTAGTTCCTCTACCCGCTATTTCTCTGCTTTCATTTCCCTTTTTTGACTGTTTTTCTACACTTTTCTCTAGTTGACTTTCCTTATCAGCATCTACAACAGATCTCCCTTTCTTTTCTCCACTTCTTCCTTTTTCAGTTATCTATGGGCTTCCCAAACTCCTTACACTTTCTTAGCCATTTATTTGCCCATTTTCCATTACATTTCACATCTTGATCCCTATTTTCTTTGTTACTTGCTTCTCTATACTTCATCAACTACTTTAAACTCCTTTGCTTGTTATGGTCTTTATTTTTCCCAGGGACCTCCACCCAATGCAGAAGCATCTGGGCCACTCAGCCATTCTCAGTTCCAAGGCCATCAGCGACAGCCTCAAACACAAACCAATCTTCTAGGACGAGAATATATGGGCAACAAAGTATGTCAGATGTATAATTCGGGGGTTATCTGGGAATCTTAAAACTTTTTTCATAATCGCAGACTTGTTCTTTTCTTGAGGTATCAAGCCCTTAGTTCTACTTTCATGGCTATCTCCATACAGGAGCCAACAGGATTCAGCACCAACAACCTTAATTATGTGACACCTGCCTATGATCCAAATCTGCCCAACAGGTTTTTGACCAGCTATAATTCCAAGTGAGCTTGGTAGTAATTTGCCATCCATATTAGGATAGTAACATTCAGACAGCCAGTTTGGCCTAGTAGTTAAGGTACCAGGCTAGAAACCAGGATACTATGAGTTCTAGTTCTGCCTTAGGCACGAAAGCCAGCTGGGTGACTTTGGGCCAGTTATTCTCTCTCTGCTTATGATGTTGAGCTCATTCAATACCTATCACAATTGGGTGATCTGATAAACAGACCCCGAATTTACAGGAAAAGGCTAGGAAGGAGAAAAAGGGATAGTAAAATTCCTAAGCTATGATTTTCTATTTAAATAGGTGGTTTTGATTCTTTTATCTATACGGATCAAGTTATTCGAAGCAAGGATTTTGGAGGATGGGTAGTGAGAGCAGAGGGCAGAAAAAAGTAGTGGGTCTGCTATTTGTAGAAAAATAAATATTTATAAAGTAGTGTGAACTCTCAAATTGTCAGTGCCAGAGGCAAGAAGTGCCAGGGTAAAGACATATCTCTGATTTATATTTGTGAGAACACAAGCTTCAGTAACTGAATCAGTCATGCACTAATCATCTTTCTCTTTATTAGGTTTTATGAAACCATTTCAAAGGGAGTGGACAGGGAAGGCTGGACCAGAGGGGGGATCCAGCCTCAACAAGCAGGTGGCTTTGCCACCAACAACCACGGAACTGATTTAGGAAGCGATCCTAATGCCACAGAAACCTTGAGAACTGTTCATCCCCATGTTGGCAGGTGACATCATAGTGGCAGGGCTGTTTCTTTTTCTTTTGCTCCATTAAGCCATTTCGGGTGCCCGGTGCCATTTCTTCTCCTTCCCTCAGGTGCCTTCTACCTTCCTTTATTAATTTTTTCCCAATTTTTGCCCTCTGCCATTATAGGACAATTACAACAGTTGACCCATTCTATCGAGATTCTCCCCACGATCGTCGCTTTGCTGCTCTTCATCAGACAACTGTCCCCAATTAAGTAAGTAATTTGGTTCATTGCATTTTAAGGCACTACAAAAGCAGGGCAAAATATGGCATTATCAGGCTAAGAGATGTTACATTATGGTAGTATATTGTATGAGTTTAATTCAATTACTGTTGAGAAACCGAAGCTCAGTTTAGTGCCTCCTATGTCTACTCAAGATTTCCCAGTGTCAGAGAAAAAATGCAGATATTTGATATTTCTCTCTCATACACACAGCAAAATGACACAGAACAATCAAGTCATTTTCCCTTTTCAAGAAATGTTCTAGGAACTTGCTACAGGTCAATGCTGCAGGGGAGGGAATCTTACAAATCATCAGTGGAGACTATTTTCATATTGTTGTCATCCTTACGTTTCCTTTCATCATAAAAACGTATCCTAATTTAATATGTTTGCCTCTTTCCAGCCTCTGTTCAGAAGTGAAAAGCACAGTGATGTCTTTAGACTTCAAGGAACCACTCCACGTGCTAAGGAAGGAGCGTCACTAATTGCACTGTCATACTAAATCTATCTTATTTTATGCATTGTTTTAAAGAAATTAAGACATATTCTAGCTATGTCTCCTGTCCTAGATCAGCACATTGAAACAGGGGTTTAAAAATCTTTGGGATAGTTATGTTTTTTATAGAGTTTCTATAGCTCTGTAGCTGTACAAACTTTGTGACATAATGTGAGCATCTGACTAGCTGAAAGCTCTTTATGTCTCTCTAACCACAGAGTAAAGATACCAACAAGTAAGGGCCTGTCCTCATGACACTGCTTTCATTTCATCCTTAATTTACAGTAGAAAAAGCTTAGATGTATATTTAGCTCTTCCAATTTTGAAGCCATACTTTCCATCTTCTGGGACAACTTTTGTTGTGGCTATATATTTTCATGCTTTCTCAGTTATGTGTTTGATGGTACAGCTGGGCTGGGATTTGTCCAATTCACTTGGCCACTTCAGGTTGCTGTGAACATGGCCCCTTCCCGCTGGTTGCTGGGCATGGCCCTCCATTGGTACTTTGATTTGGAACCCAGGACACAAGAGTTTCTGCAGAAGTACCCTAAAGCAACAGCACTTAGACTATATACCGCCTCACAGTGCTTTACAGCCCTCTCTGAGCGTTTTCCAGAGTCAGCATATTGCCCCCAACCATCTAGATCCTCATTTTACCAACCTTGGGAGGATAGAAGGCTGAGTTAACCTTGAGCCGCTGAGAATCGAACTGCTAAACTGCTCGCAGCTGGCAGTCAGCAGAAGTAGCCTGCAGTACTGCATTCTAACCACTGCACCACTAAAGAATGCTAGATCCACAGTCCCCCCCCCCCCGAGCCCAACTGACAGGTCAAAGGTTCAGCAGAGGAGTGCTTTATGTATTAGAAGGTAGCACCTCCAATACTCCCAGTCCTTCTTTGATTTATCAGTTGGGCGTCACCTGTGTTAAAAAACAAACAAACTGGCAAGTCACAGGCATGGAGCACTTCTATATCTGTGAGCCACCAACCCAGTAACTTTAAAGCTAACTAAACCCTCCATTCCAAGATCCCTATGTACACTTGTCTCAATACATATTAAGAGGTAATTGATGACTGCTTTTTATGATGGCAAGTTAAGCTTGGTAGAAGCGGAGACGAAGCCAGGGAAATCTATCAATCTTTTTTTTTAACTTTAAGAGTAGTCCTTGATCCTGTGATGGAGGCACACTAGGGCTTGGCAGTTGGGGCTGCACAAATTATGCCAGCATATATTTTTGCTAGCTCAAGGACTCAAGGAGAAATGCATGTGGGTGCAATCACAAAGAAGAACACTTAGTATGCATATGCCACTTGCAACATGCCTTTAAATATCTGGATGCTCTGGTTTGGGGAACATTTTCTCTTCCACTTCCAAACAGTCCATCACTACTTTTGCCCAATCTTTTCTAAAATCTGTTAGGGAAGATCACTATCTAAGATAAAAGTGCCACTATCTGTGACGTACTTCCTATATTATTCTTACCCATTATGTGTTCCATTTGGTTCAGACTTTATTATTTATAGGTCTTTAGTACAGCATGAGTCATAAGCCTAGCCATTGAGCAGGTGATGCTTGTGACCTGATCATATGTAAGTGTCACAAAATGAGAAAGAAATGGACCGCAGACACCCAGATTCTCTTTTGGGAGACTCCTATCACTCTTCTTCCACCCTGGAGGCCTTCATTTCTCATCTGTAGTGAAGTGGTAGTTCCACTCTGCTAAAAGTGAAAACTGATGGAATATTAGAGCCAATATAATGTGCCTTTACAAGTTGAACCTAACACTATTTTATTTACAGAATAGTACACAACCTGTAACCCATTGGGCCATTGTTTGAGAGAAAGATAATGCAGTCCGATGTGACCAGAATGAACATTAAATGTTAAGCCAACCATATATTTTTTTACCCCAATGCTGGAAGGTCCCGTGATCATTTAAAAATAATATACAATTATTTTCCATAAGTAGAAAAAATAATTGTAGTGGCAAATGAACTTCAATAATACATCAGTATTTACTAATCTAAACAAATGACCAGAATAACCATGGGTTGGCAAAAAAGCAGTGAAAGTGAGAATTACTTCCAACTTCTTGCTGGCTTTCCTACTGAGTTTCCTTGTGGAAAGCTGAAATTTCTTGACAGTTAGAACAATTAACCAGTGGAACAACTTGCCTCTAGAAGTTGTAGATGCTACAACACCAGACATTTTCAGGAAGAGACTGGACAACCATTTGTCTGAAATGGTATAGGGTTTCCTGCCTGAGCAGGGGGTTGGACTAGAAGACCTCCAAGGTCCCTTCCAACTCTATTATTATTATTATTATTATTATTATTATTATTATTATTATTATTATTATTATTATTCACAATCACTTGACCGCATGGAGCACATGACTGCTACAACTTCTACAATTTTTTTTTTTTATTAAAAGTTTTATAAATTTTACAAAAAAGAAAAAAAAATACAAAACAAGAGACAACATATACAAAAAAATAAAACTAAACAATACATATATAAAAAAAAAAAAACCCACCCCTCCCAAACCCCCCCCCCTCCCTTCCCCCCCCCTGAGCTTCCCAGAGCAGAATATAGGCTTAAAAAGTAAAAATAAAAATTAAATTAAGAACTTTATATTTATATATATAAAAAGATTATCTATAAAATATATAAAAATAAAACTTATGAAAAAACTATATAATATTTTTGTATACCCAATCTAAATTGTATAAATTTTATCCATTTATCCCAAACAGCAAAAAACTTCTCTTGCGTTTGTTGCTTTAAGAAAGCCGAGATCTTTGCCATTTCCGCCAGATAAGCTACTTTAAGAAACCATTCCTGCAATGTAGGCAAGGATTCCTTCTTCCAATATTGTCCTACTAACAGCCTAGCGGCTGTGATCAAATTTAACATCAGTACAACCTCCTTTGTATCACAATCTGTAACAATACCTAACAAAAATAGTTGCGGAGTAAATTTTACCCTCCTTCTAAAAATTCTCTGGATATTCCACCATACTTTGATCCAAAATGCTTTTATCTCTCTGCATGACCACCAAATATGATAATAGGAAGCCTCCTTATAACCACATCTCCAACATTTGGGTTGCACGTCAGGGTACATATAAGACATTTTTTGTGGATCAAGGTGCCATCTATAAAACATTTTATAAAAATTCTCCCTTAAATTCTGTGCTTGTGTAAATTTGACATTTCTCACCCAAATTTTTTCCCAGGTGTCCAATGAGACTGGCTCACCAAAATTCTGCGCCCATCTTATCATACAATCTTTAATTAGTTCCGTTTCTGAATCCAATTCAACTAAAACCGCATAAATTCTCTTAATGTGGGTTTGTCTTGAATCCTTCACTTGCTTAATAAGATTTTCATCTTCTCTAAGAAAACCCACCTTACAATCCATCTTCCATCTGTCTAGTAATTGCCTATATTGGAACCAGGAATAAATAAAGTTTTCTTGTGCTAACTCTTCCCGTGATTTTAATAGCCAGTTTTGTCCATCCCATTTAAGTAACTGTCTGTAGGACACCATATCCATTTTAACCCCTCTTTTTATTGCTTCTATCGCATGCCAAGGTATAGCCCATAATGGTACTTTGAAATCACTTTTATAATATTTTCTCCAAATCCTAAGTAAAGAGATTCTTAAGATATGAGATTTAAAAGCCCAATCCATTTTTTTATTGAATATTAAATAGGCATGCCACCCATAAAGTAAGTCCCATCCCTCTAGATAAAGTATCTCAGAGTTTGTCAAATTTACCCAATCACTGATTAGTGTTAAAACCACCGCATCATAATATAATTTCAAATTTGGTACCTTAAGTCCACCCCTCTCACGGAAGTCTTGCATAATTTTAAACTTAACCCTTGGCTTTTTCCCTGCCCAGATAAATTTATTAAGACCCTTCTGCCACTCATTTAAATTAATCTCATTTTTCAAAATTGGTAACATTTGAAACAGAAAAAGAAACTTGGGTAAAATATTCATTTTTATCACTGCAATTCTTCCCATGAGGGATAATTGCAACTTTTCCCAGTTCTTCAAGTCCTTCTGTACCCTGACCCACAACCTTTCATAATTATTTTTAAATAATTTTACATTAGAAACAGACAACATCACCCCCAAATATTTTACCTTATTAACAATCTCAAAACCCGTCAGGTTAGTCAAAATCTGCTTCTCCTGACTAGACATATTTTTAGGTAAAATTTTAGTCTTATTTACATTAATCTTGAAACCCGAGACCAAGCCATAATGATGAATCAACTGTAATAAGTTTACTACAGAATAATCAGGTTGCGACAAAGTAACAACCAAGTCATCCGCAAAAGCTCTTAACTTATATTCTTTTTTATTAACATATATTCCTTTAATTTCCTGAGACTCTCGAATTTTGATCAATAATATTTCCAATGTTAAAACAAACAACAATGGCGATAAAGGACACCCCTGTCTAGTACCTTTCTCTATTGTGAAAACCTCCGAAAGACCTCCATTAACAATAAGTTGTGCTGTTTGTTTTTGATATATTACCTTAAGGGCTTGTAATATGTTTTCACCAAAATTCATTTCTTCCATTACTCTTAGCATAAAATGCCAATTCAATTGGTCAAATGCTTTTTCAGCATCTAAAAATATGAGCCCTGCAGGAACTTGGTTGTTCTTGTCTAAGTATTCTAATAGATTAATAATTTGTCTAACATTGTTTTTCATATACCTTCCTGTTATAAACCCTGATTGATCTTTATGCACAAGATGATGCACCACCCTCATAAGCCTATTTACCAAAATTTTTACAAATATCTTGGGTCTTGCTCCTCCCACCGGCGGTGATGCACTTCCAGGAGAACTCTCTTTAGGCTCTTTTTTACGTTGCTCCTTCTCTTTACGCTTATAGGCTGCACGGGTCATCCTCTGCTCTTTGACCTCCGTCTGGCGTTGCTTTACAGCTTCTATCATCCCAGCGGAAATCAAATCTAATGCCTCAGATTGCTGCTCAACTTCCTTGCCACTCAGAGATTTCCGACCAGATGAAGTTGAGCCTGCACCCAGGACCGAAGTATAAAAGTCTCTAGCTTTATCAACTGTGTTCAATCTGTAGCGTGTCCCAGCATGGCTCAAAACAATACCCATCGGAATTTCCCATCTAAATGGCATCGATCTAGCTTTAAGCTCATTGGTTAAAAAAGCAAAGTCTTTCCTGCTTCTTAAAATTTTGGATGGGATTTCCTTTAAAATGATGACATCTTGGGCAGCAATCTGAAATCTTTTATTGTAAAAAGCTTGTATAATCTCATTCCGCAGGGACTTCTTTGTAAAATAAATCACCACATCTCTAGGCAAGTTCTTCTGCTTAGCAATCCAGGAGTTGAGCCTATAAATTTTTTCCACTTCTCTCTGTAATTCTCCTTTATCCATATCCAAGGCCAGCGCCAGATCAGTAAGGACCACCTCCACCAGATCTTGATTCACATCTTCCTTGAGGCCTCTGATCCTCAAGGCATACTCCATTTGTCTGTACTGAAACATCAAAATATCTTCTTGTGAGGAGTCCACCTTCCTTTCCACATCTTGAATTTTGTCATCCAAAGAGTCAACTTTGTCTTCCACTTCCTCAAGCCTTGCATCGAGCTTAACCACCACAGTAGCCAAACCTGAAACAGCTGCCAGTATATCTTGTCGTAGTTCATTATTGTTTTCTTGCAATTTAGTCTTTATCCCCGTTATCTCTTCTTTGAGATCAGATTTAATTTCTGATTTAATCTGTGAGACAAATTGATTCATTTCCTCTCTCATTTGAACTACAATCTCTCCCATTATGCCTCTAACCTCTTGTGCTGAAAGTCCAGATAGAGGAGGGGAGGGTGGTGGCTGAGCCGGTGGTACATGTTTAGATTGTTGTTGTAACTGTGCAGTGGAAGTTATAGGAGAAGAAATAACCTTAGATATTGAGGAAGGCTGCTGCCTCTTTGAAGCCATTTTAAAAAGCACAATTGTCACTTCCCTTTCCCCTCCAGCCAAGAAGGGAGGAGGGGAAAAAAAAGAAAAAAAAATTTTTTTAAAAAGAGACAAAGTATAGTCCTTGAAAGTCCAGAGTAAATCCAAAAAATAAAAAATAAAAGAGCAAACAATTCAAAAGAAAAAATTCTAAACCAAAAACAAAAGTAAAGGCAAAAACCAATCCTTAAAAAGGGAAAGTAAAACAAAAGAGAAAGGAAAAAAAACTCCGACACTTTCAAAGCGCCATCTTAAATCCTTTCACTAATATAACAAAAAAAAAGGAGGAATAATAGTAGAAATCAAAAAATAAAAAAATTAAACACCTAAATTATAACAAAAAATCCTTTAAACTGCTCCGTCCGTTTAAAAATTACTCACCAGAATGCTATAAACACGGAGATAGAAGCGGCGGTTTCTTTTGCTTCCTAGGAAGCAAAAACAGCTGGGAGGCGGAGATCAGCAGGAGCTCCGAGGGAACACTCCTTTCACCCCCTCTAGAAACAAATCCAGAGGGGGTTCAGGGGTTCTACCTCTATCCCTGCACTCTCTGTCCCTTCCCTTTGCCCGGGAAGGGATTTCCGAGCCGCGGGCCAGCTGATGCACGCTGCGCTCCGCGGCTCTGACACTTCCCCAGCTGGACGGCTAAAAGCTAGCCGCCATCGCCGTCGCCTCAAACCGGAAGCTCAACTTCTACAATTTTTCAAATAAAATTGATTTGATCTGAATATGATGGAAATTTCAATTCCACAGGAGAAATTAGTCCTGTTTTTTTTTTACATATTCTTTAAGTTAGCAGATATTAAATACTATAACTCCCTGATCTCAATCGTACACAAATACAGCCACAGGTAGAAGGATCTCTTGTCTCCCTACCAAGTATGATGAAACGTAATGCTGCAAAACTTTTCTATTCCTCTTTGTGATACACAAACCGACTAACCTGCCTATAGAGTTAGCAAGACTTTGTTGATTTCAGATTTGATGTAGTAAACATTCAGAAGTTGCAGAAAGCACATTTGGAATTAGAATTCTGTTTTTTGGTGTGACTCTTTAGGAAAAAGTTACCTCTTGCAGACTTGAAAACTAAACTATCTTGTATGCTGCATTATTCCTTTTCAGCAAGCCACTATGGTTTACTTTACCAGTTAGGAGTAATGCACACCAATTTTCCTTTTGTTCTCAGTTTTCTGTCCAGTAATAATAGCTGCCACATTGTATTCTCTTTTTTTATTTCCATTTCTCACATTTCTCCCAGTGGATAAGTTTTCACTCTGGTGAATGTTTCATGAGCTTTCATGAATTTCATGCTGCTGCCTTACTGGAAAACATAGAGCAGCTATATGTTCAGTGTGGGGTCATCTGGCATCTAATCAATTTTTCACTGGAGCCTGGATTAAGATAACACGTTACTCCAACTGGAGAAAGGAGAAATGGCTTGTGATGGTTGGACCCTTTACCTAGTCAATCCCATACTCTTGTTTTACAAATTGTCTTTTTTTGCATTTGGATATATCTAAGAGCTAGGTTAGGTTGTATGAGGGCTTCTGAAATTAGGAAAGAAAGCACTGTGCATTTCTATTTAAACAATCCAGTCTCCACTGAGGTTATGCCTCAGCTGATTTTGTAGTCTCAAAATGTGGTTTTTAATATTTTCATTTTTTTAAAGTTCAGGAACCATTCTTACAACTTTTTTTGTTTTGAATTTTTCTTTAACAATTTTAAGGCTTTGTGATAAGTTTATATTGCTTATTATCTAATGCTGCCCCTTTCTTAATGAAACTAAAATAAATTCCACCTGCTTTATTATTATTGCAACAAAAGGGGAATGTAGCTACTCACTTATCATGTGTCAGCTAACTCACGGCCATACCTTTACCATGTTGACATTATCATCTTTTCGTACACCTTGCAAAACTGTACTCTTTGCTATGCTGTTCTGTCTGAGACACTCTCTCTCTGCTTTTTCCCTCCCACTGAATATCTGTGTTTGAATTTTCCCAGATGGATTAGCTGTATTTTCTGAAGATAAGCAGTCCATGCTGTCACTAAATGAGTAGGGGGTTATTGTCCCAAATTGTGTTTTTGTCTACCATGTTGTGAGTGGATAGGCTAGTATGTTTTCCATTTTGGTAAAAGCTTGTATAAAAGCTATAAGATGATGCTATGGTTAACTACAGAATGGATATTTAATGTGTGATTATATTGCTGATGGCAATGTTAGAGCCTAAAAAGGAACATAGACATGTGGATCAGCTCTGTATTATTAACTGGCAATTGACTCAACAGAGAGATGCAGGCATATAATTGTGGAAAAAGAATCCACATCACCTTTTCTCAACCATCTGGAGTGAAATAAATGCAGAGCGGGTGTCACAATGATGTTACAATGCTGTGTGTGTGTCTGTGTACCAAAATAGCTATAATACCAGTGGGAATTGGTATCAAAATAACATACTGGTCGGATAGACTGAGAGCTGGAGATGGGTGAACTGATTGAGATAAGTATCTCTCTGGATACAGACTTCTCAGAGTAGAATCTATGATATTAAAGTTAATGTGAATCGCTCGTATCTGTAGGAGCTAATTAAGGATCTCCAGTATTTGTTTCAGTTGCTGAATGTGCATGTGCCATCAATGCTGGCATTCATTTATGGTTATGATCTGCTACTATTGCATGTTAGGCAGATGTAAAGATATTTGCTTACTTTTCCATAAGTAAAAGGTAACATTTACCCAAAGAAGCACCTATTTGGGGTTGCTGATTCATTACTTACAACCCTAGGCAAGAGGACATAATGAGGCTTCACTATTTATTTCATTTGCTGGATTATGGTAGTTCCACTCTAAATGACATAGCATCAGCTTCACAGCTACAGAAGTAATTTATGTGTTGGTGTCTGTGATAAAGTAGTATTTTCCTGCACTAAGGCAGCAGGACTAGAGGCCAGTATTTGTGTTACAGCAGATTGTTCACGCTAAAATCATAGGAAGAACAGTGTCATGCACAGTAGGCTGTAAATATTGCCTTTTTCCAGATTGTTGAAGCAGGTAGAAATGCTTTGTCAGATTGGTTAAGCAGAGTACTATGTCAAGTCAGTCCATGTGGAAATCTGATTGTGCTCTTGATGGGTGTGTACAACCTCCTCGGTGTATTTTTAGAGGGAAGGATGCAGGGGTGTCCACAGGCAGAGTCAAAAAAAGTCAAGGTGGTGGCCAGAACTATGTATCTTAAAACTCACCTTTTTAATGTGTTGTGACATAATGGGTAGCACGTCAATAGCATATTTGTGGCCCGATCTTGATTTTTGAACTTCCCCCTGGATGGATGGATCTGCTCTGCAGAGATTTATTTCTGTACGGTCACTACAAAATGAAACATTCAGCAGGTTTCAACTTTGCAGCTAACTGATCTATTAGAAATGTAGACAGAAAGCTTCTCTGACATGTCATTTTGAAAAGATTTGAGGGCATGACTCCAACTTCCTAAACTATATAAGGTTATTCATTGTTAAAATGGTATTTCCAGTTGACAAAATATTTGGCTTTTTTTCTCAAGACTATTGTCAAGTAGCAGCAAAGAAATCTTTGACTCTTTAGATAATGGATGTCAGTTCTTAACAACTTTGCTGAAATAGAAACAGCCGAGGTTCAGTGTGGGCCATTGTTCTGTATTTAAAAAATATTACATGTTTTGTTGATTCTTTTAATAATAATTTGTTAAAAGAAATTTCCAATTGATGGGGTTGATAAAAGCTGAAATCCAGCCTTTGGAAGGCAACAGTTCTTGCATCCTGCAGTCTCCTATCCTATTGGAAACATTTTCCGCTTTATAAAGCGGAAGGATGAACGTTGAAATTTGGAAAGTAGAGTGGCCCTAACCGGTCAGTCCTAGAAGAGATCAACCCCTGACTGCTCTTTAGAAGGCCAGATCCTGAAGTTAAAACTCAAATACTTTGGCCACCTAATGAGAAGGAAGGACTCACTGGAGAAGGGCCTAATGCTGGGAAAGATTGAGGGCAATAGAAGAAGGGGACGACAGAGAATGAGATGGCTGGATGGAGTCACTGAAGCAGTAGGTGTGAATTTAAATGGACTCCAGAAGATGGTAGAGGACAGGAAGACCTGGAGGAACGTTGTTCATGGGGTCGCGATGGGTCGGACACAACTTCGCAATTAACAACAACAACAGAGTGGTCCTCTTGTCCCTGTCTTCCGAGGGACAAAGAAGAAACTGCTTATGAAGATGCTGCCCTTCTCGCAGCAGATTAAAAGGACGGGATCCCCACACGGCTGGGCTGCCTATTCGGATGCAGAAGTAGCCTTGCGAAGCTGCTGGCGGCGGCAGGAGGCTGGGCGGGTCTCCGCGTTCGGACGAAGCGGCGGAGTCCATCGCGGTTCTGCACACCGACGAGCAAAGCAGAGCCCGGATCACTTTCATCTTCTTCTCCGACCCCGGGAAATGAAGCCCAGAGGTGGGGGGGAGGCGGAGGCTGCGCTTTTGGCGCGTCTTTCTGCTTTTCGCCTAGCCGGGCTCCAAACCCGTCCTGTCCCCCGGAGGAGGCGTGCCAGGCCGGGAGTAGGAAGCGCGTCGCAGAAAGAGAGGGAAGAACGAATCCCTAATCCCGCCCCGTCCGATCCGCTCGGCTCCGCCATAGGTGGACGATCCCGCGTGGGGGTTTCCATGGAAACGCCGAGTCGCTAGGCGCCCGGCTCATGTGTGGGAGTCTTGCTCAGACCTAGCGGGGACCCGGGAGCGAGAAGCCGGGAGGCAGAGAGGACCCGCGGGCCCGCCGGCCGGCCGCCGTCTACGGAACCGGTCCTCTGAAGAGCTTGAGGCGGTTCCTTCTCAGGGTCCTGGTAATGGACGGCAGCCGGCGCGGGAACCCAGCCTTCGAGGTTAAAGGATGGGCTGGTCCTGGAAGGCGGGCAGGCAGCCCGGCTCTTGGAGCTTAATCTCGGAGGCTCACCCATCCGATGCCCGGGGACGCCCGCCGCGCCCCTCCTGCCCAGGGGTCACAGATGGCGAGTCCAGGAGCCACGAGCTGGAGTCGAGCTGATTGGAGGACCCCAGTCTTCCGGTACAGGAAAGAGATTTGAAAGAGGAGCCGGCCTGGCAGGGGTCATCTTCCACCGGATTGTCCTTCCAGGAGGAACCCAGTCTCGAGGATTGGTGGAGCTTAGCTGGTTGCCATGTCTTGGAGTATTCCAGGCAGAGGTGGTGGCGTTCATCCTGCTCACACCTTCCCTTGTCTCTGAGGATGGGCAGTGGTGGTTCCTCAGGCAGGGAGGAGCGGCTGCCATCAGTGGCTGAAGAACAGCTGAGTGGAGGAGATCAGATGCTAGAGCTCTCTGGGCGCCACCTGAGGAAGCTGCCCACACCAGTGTGTGCCCTGAGCACCCTGCAGAAGCTCTACATCAGTGGCACGGGGATAACGGAACTGCCTGAGGAGATTGGGGGCCTACAAGAGCTGCGCATCCTGGCCCTGGACTTTAACAAGCTGGAGGAAGTACCTGAAACCTTGTGCCGCCTTCCCCACTTGACTCGGCTTTATCTGGGCAGCAACCGCCTCTTTGGCCTCCCTGCAGAATTCTGTCAGCTCAAGACTCTCCGTTGCTTGTGGATTGAGAGCAATTATTTGTACCACTTTCCCCAGGTTCTGCTCCAGATGCCCGAACTGCAATCCCTGCAAATGGGAGACAACCGTCTCAAAACCTTACCGAATGGCCTGCCACGCATGAAGGGTCTTCGAGGACTTTGGTTGTATGGAAACCGTTTTCAGGAGTTTCCAAAACCTTTGCTTCACATGAGTCAGCTTCACATTCTTGATGTTGACCGTAACAAGCTTACTGAATTCCCTGACTTGAGTCACCTTCGGAGGCTACGTCTTTTCTCCTATGACCACAATCCAGTTGAAGCGCCACCCAGTGTGGCTGACACTGTCTTTGTAGTGGGTGAGGGAGCACAGGAATTCATGGAGTCTAGGGGGGAACGTCTCCAGGCTCTTCGACAGCAAAAAGCAGAAGAGCAGGAAGAGAATGAATCTGAAGTTCTACAGCCCAATATGAAAAATGATTCCACTGTATTGGAGGAGGAGGGCAGTTTTACTGCTCTGGAATGCTCTCCTGAGGAGACATGAGATATTAGTAATGGCATGATTGCTGCTAAAGAAGTCTAGTAGGTACTGATAGGTTTTCAAATCTGCAAATGGGTTGTAGAAAATTAAGAGCTGGGCACTCCCCACTTGTTTCAAGAGTTGCAGTCAGAGGCAGGATTGTGGGTAGCAAATGACCACAATAGTTGATAGCCTCTTGTAAAGAACATTGATCACCTATTGTTGTCTTCTTATTCTCAATGGAATCATGGGCAGCCTCTGCCAAAATGTCTGTAATGCTCTATGGGTAATTTTGTGTTCTGTCTAAACCTAGGGCACAACTCCCTAATTTGAAGTATCTACGATGACCACATATGGCTGAAACAGAATTTCAGATTGACATTCTATTTGCCTGGCATTATAAGAGCAAGACAGGATAAAGCCATTTTGTTTATTTATTCCCCAGTTTATCCCCATAAATAATTAATTTTCATCATCAAATTTTTAATCCTATAACTGGAATTAGACTGGGAGGGAAACCTTATTTGTGCTGTTCCTTCAGCTGTCAGGTTTGAGAAGAAGCTCAGGTGAAATCCTTGTTTGTGCATAGAGCTTTTTGTCCAGGAAAAGCTTTGATTCTATTCTGTGTACAGCAGGAAAGAGGGTCGTGCATTACTCTGTTGCTTTCCTGAACTTTCTATTCCCTTAAAGGGGCATAGAAGCAAAACTGATATGACCTTGGCCCCTGCAGATTTGCATGGATCTGAAACCGAAGAGGGAGGTAGCCACAGGACTTTTTCTTGTATGGGAGTGTGACAGGTTCATTCTCCTGAGGTCCTTCGGGCTAGATTTGTATTAAATCTAAGCAATAAAAGCCCGTTAGAGAAGAGACGGAAGGAAGGGCACACATTCTCAGGGAGATTGCTATAAAAGCAAGAGACCAAAGGTGTTGTGAGGTATAAGGCTGTTTTAAAGAGAGTTGTAAATGAAATTGCAGTATCTGGTGAATGGAATCATGTTTCTCAGGCACCCTTGTTACATATTTTAGAAATCCTGCTTTTGCTATGTCTGATCATGCAGTTTTCTCTGTTTTTCTGCTTCTGAGGTTTCTTTGCGTCCCCTTTCTGATTTTCTTTCTTCCATAGTTCCATGCTTTCTTTCCCCGCCCACCTTTTCAGAATATATTTCTTTGTCAACTGTGTTCAGTTTTTCTCTGGATTGGCACTTTGCTCAGCCTCAGTTTCAATATTTGTGCTGCATGACATGGTAGCCAGCATCAACAAAGTTAACATCTTTTTCTTGGATTAATTTTAGCCTTATAATGAACATTTATGGTATATTTTATCTTATAGTTTATTTTTCATTAATTGGCTGATTGCCACAAAATATTATTTTTGTTAACTCTTTGTTTCTATCTATCTATCTATCTATCTATCTATCTATCTATCTATCTATCCCCCTTCATTCTCACTGTTGTTTTTTCTGACAGAGGAAGAAAGGCTTTCTTTTCAGTGTTGTACAATGATAGTGAGTGCAATTATCAACTTCACTTTTTTTAAAATTGGTTGCAACCATTTACATGGCATGTTTTCGCACCCTTGTTAGGCTAACCATCTGATCACTGTGCTTTTTTTGGTGAGAAATCTCATGCCATAGATGTGTAGTCACACACCTAAGTCATTCATATGCAGCTTCTGCCTCATAGCCACATGGTGCTGTTATAATTGAACTACACAGTAGCAATTTTTGTTGGCTTCCATATCCATTTTTAGCATCACAGTATTTATTGCAGTAAGTGATGCCATGTGTTTGAAGTATTGGTTCAATAGTTGAACTGTGGAAGATTTTGTCAAAGCAGACAACAGATTTTGCATGACATAGGTTGCCACCCGAACTAGTTAGCATCAGTATTTACCAAACTCGTGTTTTCTTCTTCTAAGAGGTTCCGTACGGTAGTTGTCTTTGTAGTCATTACAGATAAGTCATTTCTCACTTTTAAGTGAATTTTCATCATGACTGTAACCAATTCTATAGTTGTGTATTAACCACCACAACTTGAAAACATTCAGATAATTAATGATAACCAGTATTTAAGAAACAGGACATCATAGACCAAAATGTTTTGCCTGGACTGGTTTTAATCTTCCATGAATGTTTCCTTTCTAGAATGTTATTTAGCATGCCAAAGGAATTGAAAAACATGCTGGCTACAAAGTGGAGACAGTTCACTAACATGTGTCTTTCAGCATTAAGAAGAGTTCACATTTGGCAGAGTTCTGCTTGCTTGGCAAACACTGAACAAGTAGTGGGTTGGTTAGCAACTGAAAAATGCAGTAGAGAAAGCAAATAAGTCATGGAAAACTAAGTTGGCAGGGTCCGTGGTAAAGAAATGTTGAGTATGCTGATGATATAATTATGAGGAATGGGTGGAATTGTGTCATCATCTTTGAAAAACACAATCAGGGCTGTCCCTGTCAGAGACAATGTGAGACCTCAGATGATAGATAACTGGTGGGAGGAACAGCTGTTCCTGTGCCATTCCCTTTGTTGAAAAACATTTATACAACTTGGCTTGTTCTGCATTCCTATGCTAGCTTGCTACCCTCAGGTGCTATTCAGTTACCAGTGTTAAAGTTGTATTCATCTGCTAAACAAATTCATACATCTTAACATTTGCCTTGAGTAGCTAAAAGTCTTGGGTTAGCATCAAACTGAGGTTTTATTGCACTTCAGGCAAATGCATTTTGTCATTAGGATGGGGAATTTTCAAGCCTTGACTGAGGTTAGAGAGGTGTCTTTGAAGCAACCAGCATCCTGCTGGAGTAGAGCAGATCACCTACTGTGCAATACACTACAAATTATACAATAATTGTCCAACTGTAGCCCCAGTAAGGGTGAGGGGGGGCACAGTCATCTCTAAATAGGTTTTCTTATTTAAAGTGGCTATGACCCAGGGCTCTTTAGTAATAATAAAGAACTGGTTCTCTGCAGTTAGCTAGAAGTAGAATTAAATATTGTTCTTTATGGCAGTTATAGAAGATTGACTAGCAAAAACCCTTATGTGATACTTCCAATTGGATTCTGATTATCAAAGAATCATCTCTAACTTTAATTAGAAGCTTCCCAGGTGTAGCGTCAGCCTCTAATTGTGATCTGTTCATCACATCCTAAATATCCCTTAATTGCCTTTCCCAACAGGATGAGCTTTAAGCTATTGGTTTTTGGTTTCCTTGAAAAAATATCATAATCATAAATCATGCTACTTTTAAATTAAAAATTGAAAGAGAAAATAATTAAAAAAAATGGTATTCCTGATAGGAACAAGGGTTGACTAATGAACAGGAAACAATTAGTGGCTACAGCTACTAGAAGAGGCTTTCTTTAAAATAAAAAATAAATTTATCTTGAAAGATGTTGTGGTGTTTCATTCATAGAAAAGAACAGTGATATTTTTATTGTCATTTTCTAAGTGGTTTAAAATGTTACTACTTAGACCTGCAAAAGATAGGAAGACAACACAGAGAACGTTGGGTTGTAGCGGATTGGCAACAGCATCTGAGTTCACCATTAAAAGAAAGTGGAAGAATATCAATTCTTTTAATTTTACACATAGTTTCTTTTATTTATATTTTTTATTGTACACCACTTTGATTCTCTTTGAGGGCGATGAGCAGTTCTTAAGTATGATAAATAAATGAATGAATGCATAAATAAATCTTCAAATAGCTTAGTTGGGGATATAATACACAGTTACAATAACGAAACCTTACAATTATGAACTCCATTCACTCATATTTTTCTGATTGTTAAAAAATGAGCTAGAATTTACTAATTTCTGCCTTAGATTTTAATTCAGAACTGACAAATGTTCAGGGAAAAGGTGACCTGGGTTGAAGGTAAATTCATCTAGAATATTTGAGTCCACTTGCTGTTTCACTTTGATAAAAGAGTAAAGAGGGTATCTTTAAACAACCCCAACACTTACTAATTTGGGTTATTAATCTTTTTGGTGGAAAATACACATTTATCAGAAGAAATTTTAGTTAAATAATTAGGCTAGAGAATGCGATCACTGGCTGTTACATCTGAAATCAGAAACTACTTGAATGTGCAAATAGATCACATTACTTGTTACACATTGCTAGCTCATGTATAACTTACAATTGACATGCACATCTATATCTTTTTCATATGTACTAGTTCTATATTAGGTATCCTATGCCTTTGCTGTATGCTATGTCTTCACCAGTGTTTCTCAATGCTGGCTGGTAAATTCTGGAAATTGAAGTTCACACATTTTGCAATTGCTGAGGTTGAGAAACACTGATCTACACTATTCCTCTGAGCTGCTCAACAGATAACAAAGAATGATGCAAAGTTAGTCTGGCATGATTTGTCTTTGCTGGCTTCTGTTAACTGTAGCATTTCTATTCAAGTGCTTATAAAAATGCTGCTTAATACTGTAATCTGAGGACCTTATCCAATAGGAATGTCTAACAGATCTATAGCTTCCCATACCTTCCTCATTTCCCTTTTTGGAAAAGAGTGACATTTGATCCCCTCCAGTGTTCTGGGAACCCATCAATTCTCCACGTCTTCTGAAACGTTATCTACTGTAGGATGATTCTGCAGTTACCTGTGCTAATTCAGACTCTAGATTGTAATCCATCTAGCTCTAGAGATTTAAATTCATTTCAATTCTTTCCTACACTCTCGTTTATCCTATATTTTCTTATTCCCTTACTGACAACAGTAACCAGCTTTTTGAAAGAAGGCAGTTAAGAAATGTTGCCTTCTCAGAGTCACCACTTTGTCACAATGAACTTACAGGTGCAGTTAAAAATCTTGGTACCCCTCCACTTTTTCCTAGAGAAGCCCAATTTGCTGTGAAATAAGTTGGAAGTGACACAAGTTAATGGCATCTGCCATTCTTTATTACATAGTTCACAGGGCATACACTTTGCTTTTGATGTATGGCTTGACATATTCCTGTAATTAACAAAACAAATGAAAATGTCACATGCTTAGGATCTAACTCAAAAATTAGTGGTACTTATGTTGAAACAACGAATATAAGTTGGTAATTATATAACAATCTCCCATGCGTTTCAAATGCAGCTAATTTAAACTGGCTCTGGTCCAGTGAAATCTATATAAATACAGGGTTTTGAACATCTGAGACAGCTTTATCAATGTGCTTTGAATGACAACAAAATTGCTATAGAGTAAGCTCATTGCCTTTGCAATCTGTCATAACCATTCTTTAGCAGAAATTTGATAGAGCATGCCTATGCAGATTATTTTAGATTCAGATAATATTGTTTTATATTCTTTATAAAATATGTAACTTGTGACTATTCTCGGATGAACAGTGCAGGAATAACTATGACCAAAGGGACTGTTCTGACTGAGCAGGACAACTCCATCTTTTGAAGCAATAGAATATTTAGGAAGAAGATGCACTTATGCATTGCTTCTTTAGGCACCTTGTTATACAGGAATACATTTTTGCAAATGTATTTGTAAATATGAAACACTTATTTAAAATTTACCCTGTAACCTCCAGCACCGCCTGAGGTTTCCTGGTCACTGAAGCCAGTTTAATTATATCAAAGTTTCAGGAACTACAGAATTCACAGGATTTTGCAATTACTTCTCCAGCATACCTAATATTCAACTCAATAGTGAAGGTCACAAACTAGGTTGACCAGATCTGAGCTGTAAAAATCTAGATGACTAACTATTGTAGATGCAGAATATTTTAATTTTTATTGCCTTCTAGTGGTTGCCTGCATTTTTTGCAACCAAGATTTAATAGCCCTATTCTCAGCTACCTATTCTTCAGTGGAAAAATGAAAAAGCAGCACTTCCTGGTTTTGAACTTCCCAGATTTCATTAAAAGAGGTTCTATCTTTTATCCAATAAGTGGGCATGCTTTCCTCCAGTCTTACATAACAAGTGATTCTTATAATTATGCTTACATTGTTTCTATGTTTAGGTGCCAGCATTTCCTTTGCAATATTTGAGATTATGATGTCAAGTATTTGAGGGAGGCAACCGACCAGGATTTCTGGAAAGATATTTATTGCTAGTAGGGTACAGTAACAGAAAACCTGCCAAAGCAATTCTCCAGTTTGATTTATACCTAGTATAATTAAGGAGTGAGACTCTCACATTCTTTTCCCCTGGACCCTGGAATTATTTTTCTGCAACAGCCTGCTTCCTCCAATAATGGCAGTGCTCTCTTCTTGCTCTTCCCAGGTCTGTTAGACATTCCATCACAGGTGAGCATCCTGAAGGAGATCTTGTCTCTCCTATCAAAGTAACATTGTTCTGGCAGCAGAGAATGTCTCTCTACTCACGAGATGTCGGAACTGTGTTTGATGCTAATGTGATTTAAATATGGTGCAGCTCAAATACAATATCAGCCCAGTAAAGATCAGTCTTGGAATTTCAATAGATCTCATTCGAACACAATTCATTATTATTGTTATTCGACTTGCCTGGTTATCTCTCAATATCTCTGTTTCTGAATAATATTATCCTTTTTTTAAAATTGTGTTTTCTGCTTTCCAGGTTGACCCTTGTTTCTTAGAGAGAAAGGTCCTTCTTCTCTTATTAGATCTGTTAAAGGCTGGTTTGTCCTTTTTGCACTTAACCTTGTGTTTTGATAGGAATAGGATTTGCTTTGTGGCTTCAGTAGAATCCTGATACCAGCCAGCTTTTTTACCCACACAGTTAGGCTACCTAATTTTTAATCAAATCAGAGAAAGAATGTAGTGTTAATATTTTTAACAGCACTTTGAAAAATTAAGTAGTTATTAAACAGTGCCTAATGATGTTACTGGAGAGTTATATACCAGTCTGAAAAAGAAGTAAGTAATGTACCTCTTCTGACTTGTCCATCGCATGTGTTTAAAAAAAAAAGATATATCAACTGAGCATTCATCCTTATAAAATTGACATCTCAAAAATAAATGTCCCACTCACTGTTTTACTAATTTCACATCGCCATACTTGTTTTGAAGGGTTGGGTTAAAAATTGCCCTTCAGAAGTGTTGAGGATAAGATATTGAACCAAGATAGACAGAAACTTTTTTTTTATAAAGTTGGAAAATTAGCTATCAGATGTTACAACACTTCTAATATTTCCTATTTTGAAAATGGAAAGAATTATGCCCAATTTTTTTCTGGAGATCAGTGCCAGATACCTCTTTTCTGATAGGAGTTTAGATTGTCATTGAATCAAGAACTGAATAAAAAACGCACAGTTACACATAATTTCTTCAGGAGGTTTTTTCCAGGAAGATTTCAATTCATCAAGAAATATTAAAGACACCATGGATCTGAAGAAAAACACTTGTTTGTATCCAAGCAAGAGACTTGATAGAAACAAGCACAATTCTAGATTCAGGGAGACATTTGGAAGATGCTGGGGCATCCTAAAATGCAATTCATAAAATTTTTAACTTCAGTGGCCAACGGGCCTTATAGTTACAGATTTGAGACCCATATAACATTTGAACCAATACCAATGTCATTACAAATGATCCTTGCTAAAGTGCCTCGTTTAGCAACCAAAATTAGGATTGTGTAAGAATACTAGCTTTGTGACTAATCCTTGCATTGTGACCATTGTAGCATCGGTAGTCACATGATTGCCATTTGGTGCTTTGTGACTGGCACACATTTATGACCATTACATTCTAAGTCACGGTCACATGATGTTTCATTTAATGACTTAATGGGAAGTGATATAAATCTATCATGGTCACATGATTTTCTGCTTAGTGACTGTGGTGCTTAGTGATGGAGCTGCTAGTCCCAATTATGGTTACTATATGAGGATTACCTGTAATATCTAAAGATCACTCTTAGTATGAAAGAAGCTGAGGCTAGGCCTGGTGCTATTTCTATTTCAGATTTTTATTGATGTACTCTAACTGCCCAAGGCATAGTAAGTGATCCTGACATATTTCAAGGTCTTGACCTGCTCTATATTATATACATTACTCTACCATTTATGTCTGTGGCTCACAAGTCTGAAAAGAAATAACTTTCATTTTTTAGGATTTATGGCTGCTCTTGCCTCAACATGATAAAAGGATGAGAAACATTGAAAAAGAAGTGCCATATTACCAGCATTTAGAAGCCTGTCTATAGTTACTGGCCAACCTAAGGTGTGAACCTTGTAAATCATCAAGTTAATATAGATGTTACACAAGTGGAGATGTACAATGAAAGCTGCCTCTATCCCTGTCAGGTTGGAATCTGATCAGCTGCATTGCTTGGACTATTGAGCCTGACCTGTAAAAATGTGGTGTTATGGGAGCAACCCCAATAAACGACATATCACTCCAGCGTCTCCCATAGTCTTTCTGTAAGTCAGCCCAAATGTCATTGCAAACCTAAAACACTACATGCCATAAAGACCTCTTTGGAAGATATTCCCAGCCCTGAATTCATACACAGGTTCAATTGTATTAATTTTGCTCCAAGTTCATGAACCTGGGTTAATATCCATTACATATTTACATATCCAGAGATATATTCAGCTTTGTGCACAAATGGTTACCATTTAGAAGGCTAGCAAGCTTGATTTTATACAATGATATTTAGGCCTGAAAAAAAAAAGATCCAGAATCTTGATGATAAAAAAATAAAAATAAAAAAAATAAAGGACAAATATAAATTTCTTGTCTGCAATGATTTCCCATTTCCCAACTCAAAGGGGAAGATGGGAAAACTGCAAAACTGGTTCTATAACTTTAAAGATCTTCCTTGCTGGAATTAGCTAAGCAGTGCTAGAACTTAAAAATACTAGCAGCAAAAAAGGTATCAGAGATCTGGAAACAAAAAGCATATTAGGGAACTGAAAGAAATAACATCAGGATGGTTTGGGGCTACATTGCATTTTACATGAGTTAAAACATTGCAGTGCTTGTGATCATCTTAAGAAATGGTATTTTGCAGACTCTTTTCTTGATGAATTGTTTTGTGGAATGATCTATTTTTGAAGAAATAATGACAATTCTTATTTACCCTTTTATTTTTACATCCTAGTTTGTGCAGTATCTGATTGAGCCACATTACACTGGGAGACAAGCTGTTCCATGGATTAATTGTTCTCGGTGACAGGAAAGTTCTCCTTTTTCCAGAGTGAATCTCCCTCTGAGGAGCTTCCCCCTATTGCTTCTTGTCCTGCCCTCAGGTGCTATGGAGAATAAATGTATATAAGGAAGAGTATAGTGGGAACAGGAATAAGTGTGAGAAACAATGTTTTTGTTGTTGTTGTTGGCTATACCTTTACAGAATTGTAGCATAGGCTACATTAGCTGCAGTGACTAGAGATAGGAATGGGTTCATAAAGTGAAATGTGATGAACCAGCTGGGAAACTCATGCCATAGTTAATTCCACCCAGATATTCATTTTTTAAAATATTATATCAAGGCTTTTAAATATACTACTATACATAATAATCCTATTTACTAGCATAAAAAGAAGACACAAGAAAGCCCAGTAAAGATTCAAAGATTGAATCCTTTAGATTGGTACAATTATTATTTGTTTATATTTTCTACTCATATCTGAAGTGTTGATGCATTCAGCATTGGAATACATATTGAAATCCTTGACAAGTTCTTCATTGGATAGGTACTATTAGTTTTCCATTCACCAATCATACTAAATATAATGAAAAACATAGCAAATAGGCTGCTGTTAAAAGTCAGTTGTGATTTAGAAAACAGTGGCATCTGATTGTCATTGTCCAAGCTGATGTTCAAGGTAGGCCAAGTTAGGAAACCCTGCAAGCACTATTGCCATTCTATTTTATTGTTGTGCGCTATAACAACATAATCTTAAAAGCCTGTTAGAATGCCCCTCTGTTCTCTTTTCTACCAAAAGGAGCCAAGGCTGCCGTTATCTGGAGTATTTTTCTCACCTCCCCTCCTTTTTTTCAGGGCTAAGTTGACATTTACTTAATGGTTGTTGCATTCCTTTTTCAAGCCTTTCTCCATACACTTCTGCATATAGGAAGCCTAGTGAGGTAGGATCTAGATAGCAGGAGGATGGGAGTCCTCCAGGGAATACCAAGGCTGTAGGCCAGCCATGAAGACAAAAAGCAACTCAGAAGAAGGCAATTGCATTTTTTTTCCTGTTGGTAAGAAAACTGCTTGGACAGCTCCACTAAGTTGCCAAAAATTGAATGCAATGTGGAGGACATGCTATTTTACTTTGTGCTCTCCAGAGCACATCAAGTAGGTATTCTACCTATGCTTCTATCATTTCCTTTCTGTGCCTTATGATGGTCCCCCATCTTGCCAAAACTGATGAAACTTCTTGAATGAGAAGCAAAATGTCTTCTTCTTCTTCTTCAGGAAAAAAGCAGTCCTGTTGTCTCTTGAAAGCACCTTTAAGACAAAAATGGTGGATGCTTTCCATTTTTTTTTTGAGGCAGTTTCCCCTAGCTCAGAGGTAGGCAACTTTGGCTTTTATGACTCGTGGACTTCAACTCCCAGAATTCCTGAGCCAGCACGGCTGGCTCAGGAATTCTGGAAGTTGAAGTCTATGAGTCATAAAAGAGCCAAGGTTGCCTACTCCTGTCGTAGCTTGATAATCAGTTGTTTAGCAGGTATAGTTTGACACAGTGTTTAGCATTCTCTTGAGGGGCAGAGGACTTAAAACAAGCAGGCTATATAACTAACATGTGGGTCAAGAATAGAGATGGGTGGCTGCACCTTAACCCAGTTATCAGCTTTTCAGTCTCAAAGCTTGCCTGGGGGTCAGGAGCTTTTTGAAGGGGGACGCACAACACTGTGGGAGAACAGGCTACTTCAACGACAGCCAAGAGATCTGGCTCTTTTCTTCATGCAGTAACCTCATCTCATCAATCGGTCCTTGTTTAGCGACTGCTAAAGTGATCTCTAGGGATAGGCTCATCCCTCACCCTCCAGTCACCTGGCCGCACAGCAGACAGAATGAGTCAGCAAATACAGCAGATTGTTCTGATTTCTAAGCTGCCACTTACTTGCTGTTGCATAAGTGGAAAACATTGATACAGCTAACCATGACTTAAGGTTGTCAAGCTTCATGAGCCGAGAACGAGTTGGGACAGAGCAAATGAAAAGAGATTTCAAGGAAAAGTTTGTCTTGCAATGCAATGCAAGTAGAAGGCCATTAACTTTGCCTGCTTTTTATCACTGCCCAGTGACCTGGACAGGTGCTCCTTGACTTACAACCATTTATTTAGTGACAGTTTATACAAAGGCATTGACAAAAGTGACTTACAACTGGTTCTTGTATTTACAACCAGTGCACTATCCCCATGGTCATGTGATCAAAATTTGTGTGTTTGGCAACCAGCATCTATTTATGAAGGTTGCAGTGTCCCCCCGGGTCACGTGATCACTATTGGTGACCTCCCCAGTCAACCTCTGAGAAGCACTCAGTGGGGAAGCCAGGTTTATTTAACAACCCTGTGATTCATTTAAGAATCACAGTGATTTGCTAAACAACTGTGGCAAAAAGGTCATAAAATCAGGTGGAACTCACTTAAGAACCAACTTGCTTAGCCACAGAAATTCTGGCCTCAATCATGGTTGTAAATTGAGGACTATTTATAGCGCATCCTTCAAAATTACCAAAAAAAAAAAAAAAAGAAAAGAAAACAACCCACCTGGCCCTATTCTAAGAGATTAGTGTAGGTTTAAATCTAGTAAAATAAACCTTTTTTTTGCAGCTGAATTGATATTATTGGCAAAATGGATTTCCTTTTCTTGGCTCACGTTAAAAGTTTACTCCAGATACTACCTCTCTGAAGCACATTTGGGGGCAAGGCGGAAGGAGTAATGCCACCATGTGAGCTGGTGTTGAAGGTCCCCTTTTCTCTAGTTTATTTAGCATTTTTTCCATCTTCTGTGATCAGCAACTGAAAAAGCTATTTAACCACCAATGCAAAGTAGTCTTTATAAAATATGTCTTTGAGTGAGTGGGAAATAATATGTTCTGCTAAATAAAACTTTACTTTCCACTGATGGGCAGTCTTACTTTGGTTATTATTTTCTAGTTTACAATTTTCAATCACACTCTATCTTTCTCCACCCCCATCATAAAGCTTACCATCTTATTATATACAGAGGAGAAATATAATATGCATGATGATCGAGAATTATTTGAGCAGTACGGTTGTGCATTAACACATTCTGAAATGTAAATATTGCTAAAACTTATTTCTTGGGGCTTTGGCCTCTTTTGGCTTGATTTTGCAGTTCTTGAACAACAAGAACCATAATTCAGAAAGAGTCCAGTGCCATGTGTAGCCTCTATTTTCATTGCCCACCTTTCAACACTTATTAGCAGGGCCTTCATATTCGAAGTATCAGTAGTTACTTCCTTGAATTTCCAGGTGTGTGTGTGGTGGTTCCCTGAAGATTTTCTATACTACAAGCAGCAGCTATCTAACTGGGCCCGTTGTCTGCCTGTTACTTCCTTTCCACTGCACGTGGAAACATTATCTTTTCGCTCATGTGTGGTTTGCTTAGGTCAACTTTTTCTCATGGAAATTCACAGAGCACATTAATTCTGGCTTGGATGTGTGCTCTGCAAACTCTTAGGAAATCACTCTTATTTGTCATCTTACTAAATAAGGTGTCCCTCTTGCTTTTTAATGAACTGATTTGTAAGTTCCGTTAACAAACCATAAAGCATGCGCCTTTTTGTCCTTTCTCTCTCATGGGCCATTAGAAGACTGTGTGTTAAGACCACTTTTCCCAGCTGCTGTTGACACTGTAACACAGATTTTTGCTGATATTTACAACCCTAGAAAGTGAGGTAACGGTCCCTTCAGTCTGCCTCATCTCTCATGGAGCTTCTTCACAAATCTTAGTATCTAGGATGCATTGCTTTGCAACTAACCTCACAAGGAAAGGGAAACAACGTGTCATGATCCAGAGAAGTTGGCTCCACACCTTAGGTCTAACATTTGCATATGTGGAAGAACTCCTTTGGATGCTGGGTTAACTTCTTACTTTTGATAGATTTGAATTAGATGAGGAAAGTTTACTACTTCCTGCTGGGTTGCCCGGGATAGTCTTAAGTGTATGTGCTATGTGGATGGCTTATACCACGGGTCCCCAACCATGGCCACTTTATGACTTATGGACTTCAACTCCCAGAATTCCTCAGCCAGCCATGCTGGCTGAGGAATTCTGGGAGTTGAAGTCCATAAGTCATAAAGTGGCCAAGTTGGGAACCCCTGGCTTATACCATAGGTGTCAAACTCACCACGTCACATGACATGTTGCAATGTATCATGATATTTTTTGCATTGCCGGAGCTGGGGTGGGCATGGCCTCCATA